AATCACGTGAGAAGCGAGCTTAAATGTTGGCTACAAAAAAACAGGATGACTACATATAGCATCTTCTGGGTGAAAAGTTTTTCAGTTTTTTTTTTGGTATGATTTAACCCATGTCTAGAGCTTGACAAACTCAAGGTGATTGTCAACAGCAAAAGCCACTATCGTATTCAGTAAAAAGATTTGGCTAAACGTATTAATTACTTAATACGTATTTTGACAGCTGCTTCGTTAATTATTTGTGCATCTTTTTGACTATGGTCCGAAGGACATTCCGATGACTAGAACTTTTCAAATTACGATACCTCTGTTCTTTTATTACCGTTTTAGTATACACAGGATAAACTACAATTGTTCTGTAATTAACAAAGTTGAAACTACAAATCCGAAAGAGACATAGAAATTATAGGAAGTACCTTAACCTATCCTAAATCGTAAAAACGTGACGAGGACTTATTATTGCGCGTATCCCAGTCTTTTGAAAATTATTGAATTAAAAAAATCTTAATGAGATAATTGCAGTACGCGAATAAATGGTGCAAAAACAGAATGATGAAAGACAAAGCAGTTTCCAAAAGACCACGTTTAGTGAAGAGATAGTTCTTGGCAAAACGCCAAGGGGTCTCTATGTGCAAGGATACTGACGGACAACAAGCATATTTTGGTAAGAACACGATATTTGTGAAGAACGGGGGTCGAAAGTAGCTTCCTTCGTAGCTTGGGTGGGCTAACGCTCTCTAAGTGCGCGAAACGACATAAGTACGGAATGACTCTTCGTTAGTACAACCCTTTCAGAGAAAAAAACCCTTGAAGCTGGCCTACCTAGGACATATCAGTTCCGATAACCGACTGAAGACGCCCATGTCGATGGACGGTATTCGTGGTGGCTTAACTTCCTATGACCTATGACGCTTTGAGCGAACTAAATCAAAGGAGTTAGACAAGTGGCCGTGCGTTTGGGTACTAAACATAGCCGTCATTAATTTTTCTCGAACTGTTTTCGAATGTTATTTTGTTATTGTATTGTACAGTATTATTGTACTGTGTTCGCTAATAATGCACCAATAAATCAATCCATCATCACCATAATGAGCAAGAAAAAAGAGGGACGCAACCTTTCCGAACAATTATCATTTCGAACTTTCTTCAACTTTGTAGTCAAATGTTACCACTAGCACAAGTTACTTCTTGCCTTGGGTGATACTCTAGTTAGTATTAACGTCAGCAGAGACTTTTTAGAACTCCCGCCTGCGACCAACAAAGGCTTTATAATAGTCGTCGGTAAGGAGGACCAAAGTGAAGTCGTCGTGAGGTTTTGCATGAAGATCACGTACGCAAGGAATGGCCGGTAAAATTTACCCAAGATCTATTTAATAAAAAACTGGCGCAAGCCACACATTCATATTAAGCTCGGCAGTTTAACAAGGCTTCAATAGCTGGCAACACTCATGCAGGTCCAACAATCAATAAATAGGCAACAGAGAAAGCTGCTACATCACCCCTGTTTCGTTCCGATCTGTCCGAGCAACCTCATTCATGACACACACGCCTATAGGCCAACAGAAGACGTTACCTTGGTTCGAATATAACTTTCGTGTCAGCAATTAGAATAGAGTAACAGACTCTTAGACTAATATTATGTTTTTTTTTATAACACCACCATTGAGCAATTATATGTGATCCTTACCTTTGACCAAGATATTCTTACCTGAACGAAGATTATTTTTCCTAAAAATGGTCAAGTACGATCGTTTGCTAACATTTTTGGTAGAATTCTTGTTGATTTCCTAACATACCATCGTTATTATAACTCGGGGGGACTTTAAGATCTGCTTTCAGCGGCTCAAGAGCCTTAACATTCTTTATGATTCAATAAGATAGGACTGGCAGACGTCGCAGCAATATTCGGAACTTTTTCATTTAAATTCGTATGGAATTCAAAAGTCTTAATCCTAAACTGTTCGTCCATTTATGTGGTAGTGAACATTAACATATAATATAAACAAAAAATAAATATTTATATATAGAAGAAATATTCAAAATAATGGTGTTTGACTGCACACCATGGAGTGCTTGATGAATCGATAATTTGCCAGGCACGAGTGATTGGGCTCGCCCATACCACTATTAGACTGAATTAAACGGAACATAAAAACATTTTCCCAATTGTTACTATAACAGAACTTTCGGGCTCGAGGCAATAGCCACAGGTATCAGTTATATTATCGATTCTCCGCCATAATAACTACTCTCAGCAATATGGCAATTCAGGTAAAAAAAATAAAGAGAAGTTCTATTTGTCAGAGGTAGCGGATAAGTAGGCCACTTGTCAATTGGTAGAAGACATGAAGGGAATGTTTTCCACAGTCTGACTCAGTGGACTTCTTAACCATCTTAGCGTTTTAAGCGTTCTTTGCAAAAAAAGTTCTGCAAAGAACTTTGCTAAGTTTCTGCTGATTGCAGGTTCCAGTTTTACTTTGACCGAATAAGCAACCGTAATACTGGCACAATACTAGTCAGGTTTAACACTTTTTCTTTATCTAATTCTTAGTTAATGTTACATGGGTACTGTTTTTTTGTGGTTTATAATTGTCGATGTTCAACATTTACCAAGATAAAGCGAACAAATCATTAATCAAAAATTGACTCAAAATCATTAATCAAAAAATGATCTCTACCCGTATTGAAGCTATGCTTTTCTGGTAAGTACAAACTTCTTTTTTGGTAGGTACACCTTTGCAAGGCTATTCCTAACTAAACTCAGCTCAAAGATTGCAGGTGCGCAATTTTGAACAGCAACACCCTGACAAGCTAGCACAGAAATACTTATAATTGTTAAATGATGCTTTGAATATTTATGTAAGGACGGTCCCTGGATATTTGTTTGTCGCAATATATGCATATATATGTATAAGCTGGAATTATTTGCCCGACCGAGCTTGTCACAATGTATTCATGTATTTCCATAGCTTTCCGGTACCTGAATGCTAGCTATTTAAATTTGTAAATAACGAATATCCTGCAAGGCAGGTACTCCGTCAATGATGTTAAGGCCATATTAAGTTTCCTTGGTGAGGTGACCAAGCAAACAATCGAAAGCTGGCAGTGTCAGCTTAAAAGTGTTTATTTTTTTACCTGTGTAACGCAACCCTTTTATCAGGAGATCGAAAAATACGAAAAAGTTCTGTGGCGATCTAATAATAATATTCTAGCCGAATACGTTGTAAGGATTACTGAATGAAGGTTTCAAAAAATATACGAGCTTCACTACAAAATAATCTTGTTAACGCTTTTTTATTTCTTCGTATAAATTTAACTATTCTATATGGGATGGCAAATATATTGAGTGAGATGTTTTAAGGGCTACGTCTGTGGGGCAGCTATCGTATAACAGTGGATATTTTCACTAAAAACATAACACGTATTCGAAATTAAGGTACTATTCCTTTATTTCAAATGTGATCCTTTATGTATAGCCGGTTCTAAATTATTACTAATATCTAGTACTAAACACGAGAAATATCTACCTATGTTTTAGAGATTCCGGATTGATATTGTTCATAGATTCCTAATTGTATTTGTTCAGTGATAAAAATGAATTTTCATAAACATGAAACCTTTCCTTGGTATTATTTATATTCGACCGATAGGTACCGAAAATAAAACGGTGGTTTGTTTACTGGATATGCCGGTACGTAGAAAGTCGCCTAAGTACACCAAACAAAAATCACTTTTGGGTCTGCCAAAGCTGACAAGAGGGAGCTATTGTGGCAGAACACTGATGCACTGAGCGTATCTAGCGAGACTCGAGTGCGGAATTTTAGCATTTGGCGGATGAGCAGAGAAACAGACGGGATTTAGCACGGGATTTTCAGTTTCATCTGTTACAAATCGAGCATGAAAGTGGCCGGAATGAAAGAAATGAGATTGAATCGTTACTGCGGAATAGTATGAATAATTACACCGTTAGAATAGCAGGCCGTATGAGTCGTCAAGGTGAGATTGAAGTTAAGATGAAGACCTTTTCAATGACAGTGTATCTATTCCTAACAGCTCCCTTGAAAAGGCCTATTCATTGACAAACGTCCGATTTATTAAAACATATGATGGGCTTAAAGCCTATCATATACAGGCAAAAATTTTCACTATGCTGGACCTTCTAAATTCCGAATCGGGTTGTGAATAATTGTTTTGCTGTGGGACGGTTTTGCATCCTTTTGAATGTTTACTTCCTGTGTATAACTACTGCTTGCTGTCACTCAGTTCGCGACATATGACATAAATAAAGATCGACCGCGATTAAAATTCTTCGATTTGGTGGAGTCTTCCAAAAAGAAAATTATCTCGCTTCAACTTAGCAAGTTCTCTATGAGAAGGAAGTTAGTGCTTTTGGGCCGTATTAGATTTTACGCCTATTCAACATGCAACGATCACAAATATATCATGATCAGATAATTCACATTTTGTAAACACAATAGATATAATTCTCATAGAATTTCACACATGTATACAAGGCGTTCTCTAAAATATCTGTCTACAGTAACTCACATAACCGCTGGGTGGACTCAACAAAAAAAAGAGCATCAAAAACTGTTTCAACACTGTAAACGGAATCATTACCTTGGTCGTAAATCTTAACATTTATATATATTAGAGATCCTACTAGTAAATAATTATATAACAGATGCTGCTTCGCATAAACCTAACAGGGCATCTCACATGTACGCCTCTCACGTATCATTTGCGGGAATTGGGCTGTCTTTACTTTGAACCCCTGTCATAAGGACTCTTGGGATACTATGAAAAATACCTAATTGCGATCAGCTACGTTAGTGACTATGTGTATCCCACTACGCCGTTGTTAAAAAAAAAAACATTAATTTCGATTATTAGTTAATTTCGATTTTTATTATTATGATGCTGTTAAAAAATGGATACGCATAATAAATTAATCGAATCCTATATCAAATAATTAAGCGGTTAGGCATTGATTCAGAGGGCTGGCCAGCACAAAATGAAACATGTCTATGTCCGATTTCGAACCCAGACTATATAAGTTTAGTCTGAACTTGAGTTTAATAGACAAGCATGTTGTTACTGCACTATCATGGGAACCGTATGCATAATAAGGTTAGCTGTTTTGTTTATGCAATGGACTACACTTACCAAAAGCAAAACCTGGAACCCCAGATGATAAAATTCAAAACAAGCTGTCAGACTCTAAAAATCATCCATAACTAACTGATCTCTATTGTTCTATAGAATAACAAAAAATAAGGTTTTTTTTATCTAATCACTTATATGGAATAATGGCCTGACGGCAGAACGGCCACTGCTGAGTCATTTGTTATTGGAGAACTTGAACGTGCGTCATATAGCCCGTAACTATCGCGACATTTGCAAACACAATTTTTGCCGTCACGAAATAGACATAAAAATAGAAAAACTCTGAAAGCCCTGAACGCATGGACCGCCAAAACACAATTCAAATTCTGTCACACGCTGGCTGGCCGGGTTCGAGCTAGATACATCCCGCTTACGAAAGAATCAACGCATAAGCTGGTACATTTGCTGCCCTGGAACAAATTATGGTGGACAAGTATAGGACATAAAACTGATGTTGCTTAGGGTTAAAAATACGCCCGAGAACATTTGTCAAAAAATATGTGCATTAAACATAATCAGTATTTGACGAGCGTACTTTGGCCGCATTGAGTCTGTCTAGCTACCTTCTTCTGTATCTATTTTGACGTCCGCTATCACTAGGGGAGCAGCTCTCGAAGAAGTCCCGTTCACGTGAGTTTGTTGTTAGCAGTGTTATTATTGTGGCCGGTCCCGCAAGTTCGATTTTTGCGCCGACATGCGCTTTCGAGCGAACGATCAATTTTGTGCACAGGTTTGGGACTCTGGGCGTGTCGTGATATATGATAACGTTACGGGTATGGTACTAGGCGAATATGTACCAGAAAGTCATCTACAATGTGCTGCCAACTGTGTTCGATGGGAGGTAGGTGAGCGGGAAGCTAGTGGACCTTTTGAAAAAAAATATTCAGACGTAAACAACCGATTAAACTAACTCTATGAACGTTATTTTCTCATTGAAAGTGTGGTAGATCGGTTTTCTTTTATGTGGTTGTTAATTTGCAATCTTACGTAAGGGTACTATCCTATTATTCCATCAGAAAGAAAGTGCTTGATAGTTTATTAGTGAACGAACTTCCAACAAGAAGAGGTTTTTAGCAATAAATCAATAATCAAATTTTGGTTTTTTTGAGTGTATAAAATCTCACTTGTGAAACATGCTAGGACAACAATACTGCTTATGCGTAAATTTTGTGTATACATAACGGTTTGTCTGAGTATATTGATTGACTTGTATAAAATAATAGAGTCAAACCTGAAATACGTTACTTTATATTCATACCGTTTTAATGAACACGTAGAAGAGGAAACTACCTGCACTACTATAGCTTTGTGTTTTGAATTTCACGTCCGATATCGTCATTCGGCATTCCTGCAAATAAGTGGCTCCTAGCACGAAACAAAGTCTGTCTATGCCCGGCCCTAAGATAAGCAAGCAAATCCGTTACCTACAAAGCTATCACAGGGACTGTACTGCTTAGTAGATAATAAACATCCCACAAATGATCGATTTTAAAATTCCTTTTAATCAAATAGCAATATTATTTTTTATCGCATTCTTTTAGGGAAATAACCTGCTTATTCTCGGGGGTCATGACGGAACGGTTATTATTTTCGATGCACTTGAAACAAAAGTGAAAGCATATTTGAAAAAAGTAAGTACAAAAAGCAAAATACGACTCTGTTCGTTTTAGATTATCCATCTACACTTGCATAAAGCGTATACTAAAAACGCATCTAAACGTGTTGATTGCCATTCGTAGACTTTACTGTGCGTATAGTGGTTATGTCAATGAATTGAGCAATGTTGGTGCCACATTTTTTTTCCAATGCAGTCAAATGTATCAGCACAGAGATTTTATTTCTATTCCTACGTTCAAAAAACAAAACCTCGATACCATTCGGATTGTACATGTAGGTTCACGCTGGTGCCGTGGAGAATCTATTGGTCATTTCCGAACGCGTCCTTTCATGCGGTCAAGATGGCGCCATTCACGAATACCAGCTCATACAACAAAGTACGTAAAATAGTTAATGTTTTACTCATACTACTTTCATTATGGCTTATGTTACCAGAAAGGTCAATGTTACACATATTGTCTGCCTTTGTTTATCAGCAAAAAGTAGCCTGATCCAAACTGTGTCAAGGTTGATATGCCACTCGGCATCAGCGCGCACTTAATTGAAAATAGAGAAATTTGTAAAACCAGTGAAGATGAATCCTATGGTCAGCATGGTTTGCGCTTGCACCGGATATAGGTTGAACATATATCATCGTATATAATATATATGATATGAGAATAGAGTTATACTGTAGTTAACGTAATGATAGCACCTAAAATTTACTTAACCAACTTTAGTTCGCCTTCAATGGGAGCAAGCGTCCGAATCGAGGCCGCTTTACTCGTTAGCGGCAGTTAATGGGGGATCTCGACTGCTTGCCGCGTCGATATCACAGCTGCGGATGTTTGATGTTGACAAACGAACTCTGCTAAAGACAGTTACAACACAGCACGTATCTCCTATCAGGTTGGTGTATATCTGCAATAGAGAACAAAACTTGGTATATCTACAATGGAAAACAAATTACTTAAAATATAACTTCAACTCAGAAACTGTCTGTGAGAATACAGTGATGTTTATAATCAAACGACCTACCCCATAGAATTCTCATCATTGAAAGCCATTGAAGTAATGAAACAGAATGCGCAAACCCAAAAGTAGTTCAGACGAAGTGGCAAGGCCTGTGGCACTGTGCATATATTTTTGCAGGTTTTTACTCACAACTGAAGATTCGAAAGTCCTGAGCTGCGCAGATAGACACCTAGTTATTTGGAGTAAGAAGTTGCGGTGCAAATCGACATTGGTGCGTATGCCTATATTGAGCGCATGAACTAAACTTCGTTTATTTAATTTTATATGCCCCTTCACTGACATTTTTAACATAGCAACTGCGTGTCTTTAGCATGAGGTGAAGTAGGCGGTATTATTGTTATTAAACTTCGGTTATAAATCATGATTAACTTGTTCACAGGTAATATCTCCCAGCGAAGTGATATCACTTCAGAGCAGCGATAAGTGGCTTTGTGCCGTCTGCTCCGCTGGCGAATGTGTCGTGTGGACTCGCAATCCAGAAGGGGGTGATAATTCTGAACACGAATGGAAACGCAAGATAACAATACAGGTGGCCACAACCGACGCCACACCAGTGCAAATACATGAAGCACGTGTTATAAACTGCCAGCTATTGCTAGTCTATGGGCCAACGGGAAGGCCTCGTATAGAGATAGTACCTTTGCCTGTGAGAAACCATGTCCTCATTCGGGACGTAACCAGCAAGCCAATTCCAACATCTACAGACTTCGCAGGAGTTCCTGTAACACATGTAAACGAAACTTAGATTATATAAGAATAGCAAAAGTTTTGTATACTGCGGGTTAGTTTTTGTATTATATCTAATCTCCGTAAAACTGAAATAACGTGAACACTTCTAATGGCCTTGGATTCAGAGACATCTGAGTTTTAGCCAGTGCGAGTCTTACACTATAACCGTAAACTCGAGGAAGCAATGGGCGTGCATAATGCATTTCTATATTTCTTAAAGAAGTTGATCTCTCTAGAAAGAGAACTCTGTTTAGAATTCATGCGAGTCATAATTATCAAATGCTACCAGATATCATAATATATGCACTCTATTTGAACATGCTATGATTCGCCAAACATGATTCGTTTGACGGACTATAAAATTTTAATTGTTACTTTCATCTTTTGACAGTACAAACCGTCTGCACCAAAAATAATCGGTCCTCTAAACGAGCGAGCACAAAACACTGCGAAAAGCGCACCTAATTACGAGGATCGTGATGAGGTTCCACTGGAAGAACGGTATGTCAGTGTGGACTATTCGGAGAAATTAAGGTGATAGCTATGCTTTTAACACTTTTTTTTTTAAATTTATGCTGTATTTTATTTTGGCAAGTTACGCTGCAGTTTTGCTTTCTGAGTTTTTCGAAATCTTATCTTTCCGCAACCTTAAAAGTGGAAAAGCTGTATCTTTCGTTCTGGGTGATGACTTAGCATTATTTTATATACTTGAAAAATCAATTTATTCCGCAGTTAGCCTAATATTGCTATCGGTTAACTGCTTTTCAGGTTACTTGATGGGGGCTCCGATTCTGGAAAAGGGGAGGAACTAGACGACCAACCCCTTCTTAATCCGCGAACTGATAATATGGTTCATTTATTACTCCAAGGTCTACAGTCTAGCGATCGAACAATGTTGAATGCAGTTATATTCAGGCACGATCTTGAAGTCGTGAATAATACCGTTAAAAAACTTCCCGTCGATGCTATACAATTATTCATTAAAGAGCTGGAAAACAGGTACGTATATTTAGCACAGATATATAAGTTGATTAAAAAAAAAAACAGCTGTAGGACCGCAAGCGCTTATAAATATAGCTTTTTTCATCAACACATATGTACATTTAAAAAACGTTTTCGTTTGATTTCTCCGGCTATTATTGACTAACAACGAAACAATGAAAGATGGTAAGACCGTTTAAGTGTTCAAAATATAATTTGCAGATTGTTTTTTTTTTTATTTCAAATGCGCTTTCGATATTTCAGCATTTGTCGTAGATTGCACAGCAATTCAAATAGTGAAACCCATAATATTTATGAATTTGTCTTATACGCTGGGTTACAGGCTGCACTGTCGTCCAGGTTTTGTGGCACCTGCGCTACGTTGGACACGCTTTCTGTTGCTTCACCACAGTTCGTACCTTGAGTCATGCCCACAACTGCTGCAACCACTTCTTTACGTCTTACGAAGTCGATTAACATGTACCGATCGAGTAGTCGAGATCAAGTCTACACTTAATTCACTTCTAACTACAACGAGGTAAGCTGGGACAGTAGAAGGTGCGAGTTCAGTAGTGGGTATTACAGTTAGAAGACGCTACAATGCTACTGCAGCAAAAGCCACAAGCGATGCCTGGTGACCATGGAAACGATTCATACGCTAACCTCTTAAGAACGGTAAACTAGTTATAAAATATACATCATTTTTTTGCCTAAACTTTACTAAAACGTATAATGCTAATTCTTACTTTTTTTTTTGGTACCAGATATCAGTCGCAGGTCGTCACTGATGCAGAAATTACCGTGGTGGAAGAAGATGACATTGCGTCGCCACTTGATTTGGAGGAGGCGAATTCGGCGGGTGAAGCTTCAAGTCCTGACGAAGGGCATGATGAGCTAGAGATCATGGAAGTCGAAGCGTGACCAATGTAGCAATAAAAAATAGAACATAATTTAGTGTAAGGTTTTGTATAGCGTAGGGTGAAAACGAAGATGAAATGACTACTGTAAAATTTGATGGTCATATGGACGACGGGGCATTTATTGTTGTTGTTGTAGGGCTCAGGGAGGAACATTATCTCTTATTATGAGTGCAGCGTTCGCAGGAGCAATCGCACGATTAAATGTAAAGTTTTTCTCTGTGACAGAATGCTTTTTAATACTCATTATGTGGCTTCAATGACAGGAGAGTGCTGTCTTTAGCAGTTTTCGCCGAAGACATTTATCTTTAGTCGGAATTCTATTATACATTAAACAAAAATAGAAATATGTAAGACATAACGAAAAAGAACTAATTTTGACAAATAATTTGTCCTTAAGCCAAGATATAGTAAGTTTGCTTTGATCGTGTAGAATAAATAGATAGATCGCATTCAGTTTTTATCTAATTTCTCACAGGGCTGTTATGTATAATCCTACCATAGCATTTTTCATCACAGTTTGCCTCGCAAAATAAATTATATGTTGACATTGGCTAAAAGATGGTTAGTTTCTAGTACTAGTCATGTCAACGTGTGTCCTCGATAAACAGATATGTGTACATGCGATGCAGGTACACTAAACGGATGTCCTTTTTAATGTGTTGATTATCCGTTAATATCAAGTTATTTAAAGGCCTTTTACTGTGCTCCGATCATAATTAGAATACGTGCCAATAAAAGTTTGATCCTTCAGAACCAACAAGACAACATTTGTAAAGAATAAAATAACTCTCATTGACCATATAAGTTTGTAGAAAGTTAGTCAGATATTTTAAATCCCAAATACCTAAGGCAAAGGCGCTTATTTTAATATTTACTTTCAACTGGAAGAAACATTTCTTAAATGGTTGTAAACGTATTTTGAAGTTTAGTGGTTCGCGGATAGCTTTTAATTGAGTCCAACGAACGGGATGTAGCATTAAGTTAGTTTAAATGGCTGATGTCTGAGATGCTGTCTATCTTTTCTGGCTCCGCTGCAGCTTTTACCGTTTGTAATAGTCCAATCTAGTGAAGCACACATGGCTAGAAAGGAACAAACCCGAGTCGTCGAAAGATGGCGACCGCAGCAGACGGCGTTGGCGCCAAAAATTTAAAGCAGACGCCGACGCCTTTTTGAGTTTCGCGTTATACGTTCATTCGGAGCTTACAATGTCACTGGGGGGAGAGATCCTATGTATCTTGTAATGTTATCGTTGTGTTTATAGTGAGTGTCGGCTATATGGCAGTAACCCTTAATCACAGAGCCACCGTGTTTATGTGCGTTACGTGTTCAAGCCTATAGGATCTACGCCAAAGGAGATATTCAGATTGAATTGATGCAGTCGTTGTAAGAACAATCAAGGGTGTTGAAAATAGACATGAAGGATTTAGACCAACAACAGGGACCGTCCTCAAGCCAGGCACAGTCCAGCCATAACGACGCAGAGGTGAGAATCAAATGTATTAAAAACAAGTCATACAGCAAACTGCCTGTGTTTCGTCAAGGAATTCAGAGGGCTTATCGAAAAAGGTTTTTCAAATCTATAACATCGACGGAGAACATTCGGAGCCACTGAGAAAACTGAACAAACTACAAATTAAAGCAAAGTCACTAGCTCACCACAGAGACCCTCCTGTTACAGACACTTATTTTCGCCAGTTGTTATGAGCCGGCGCGCCTTCACTACCCGACAGGCGAACAACCAGAGACGCCAGAGCAAATTACACTCTGTATAGGATTCATTTCTAGATACATCTGCTTATCGACATGTCACAGTCGGTTGCGGTGAGCGAACCGTGTCTTGGATTGAGAGGCGTTTACTTCGAAAGGCAAACGCTGCCTAGCGAATGGCCGATTATGGGACATGCTGACAAAAGAGCGACAGCAATAGCCTAAAGGCATCATAGAACCCAATAAATGATAAAGAAGTTACAGTGAACATTGAGTACCACTCTTCGATAACCATATTAAAGTTAAAATGGTTGTCTAAACAAGTATATCAAATGATCAAAACATTCGAACGAAATCGGGCCCCATAAAATGCCTTCATATGTCCAACTCGTATCTTTACCACTTCTCTAGTCTTAGATTAGATTATTCTAAATTAGTATCATTTGTGTTTTTGTTTCTTTATTCCACGTAGTTTCGTGTCAAATGGCGGAGTCTAACCTGACGGTTATATCGTAACGCATACGGAAATATTGTTAGTAAATTTTCGACGTCACTGTCACACTGTTAACATTCTACTCGATATTTTTTTTCTTGTTTTAAGCACGACTTAGGTCTTCGCACAATTTCACGGCTGCCTGTACATAATAATTTCCTTTTTGATGAAGATATTCATAAATTTCAACTGCATTATATGTGTAATGCTTTGCGTATGGATAAGTGCATTGATGTTTAGTGGATGCTCTCGTAGTTCTTTTTACGTATCAAAAATGCCATAGAAATGTGTATTTCTTTTCCTAGCTGCGTAGATTTATTTTATCCGTCGTTTTTTTTCTAATTCAAGGTTCTCAAATTGGGCGCGCGGAACGAGTGCAATTATTGTTATGGGCGAAGCCATAATTTTTATTTTTTTTATGACTATCTTTGCCGGTTAAAGCATTTCAAGTATTTAAACGTGGCTTGATGCGATTTATAGAGGCAATTTAGATAGAATGCTCAATTGCCTGATCAGTATATTTATTATTTCAAAACTGCTTACTTACTGGCAGCTGGAAGCTGGTATTGTTTTTTTGACCGTTGATAATACCACTGTTGTTAATAAGTTAGAAACCTGCACCTAATTGCGTGTTGTAAAGATTCACCTACACGGACTGTACGTCTCAGCGTTTACTGAAATCTCTTTTTCTTAATCACAATGTAGAGCAAGCAAAGTTCATCTGCTGGCTATGATTGTCTCCCAAATTGTTTCCCGATAGCATAAATAAATTATAACTAGACGTATTCTAACCCGCGTTACCACGTTTTCTATGTGACTATCGACTACCATTAGGGTGCACCCGTGTCACCTCAAATGAGAAAAGCAGGTGGCCGTCGCAAGAACCTCGAGTGTCCCGGCTGTGCGAAAGCATACTCATCAGTCGTCAGCCTTCAGGAGCACATTCGTAGAGCCCATCCAGATGTCTCCAATGAACTTCATAACATTGTTAAGGTGAGAGAATACCCTACAGTGTTATATGCAGTATTAGTGTCGTCCAAAATTTAACGGTATTTTTCGTAGGATGCGAACTAACACGCTTCTTCCGTACTTACTTCCACAGGCAGGACAGTGGCGTTGTACGCAGTTCCCTTGTGTTATGGGGGCTGCAGGCTGCATGGAGGTGTGCAAAAGCCGTAATGAGCTCTTAAGACATTTGGAGAGTCATCATGGTATTGTGGTGAGTGAACAAACCTTTATAACCTTTGCTGCAGTAACATAAATGCGGCTACTCGATTTGGCGTAATAGATTACTCTTGTGACAAGCAAATGCTGGGTCTGACTAATGTCGCAACAAATACTACCCGAATGAGGGGTTGCCCAATGCCCCAGTTTTATTAACCTTATCTATTATAGTTTCAATATCTAGCAGTTCATTCTTGTTGGTCTCGTTTTGTAGGTGGACTGGATTGAAAGTCGTTTCCAATCGTTGTCTGAATTTGACGCCTATCGGGTTAGTTTGAGGAGTAAAGGCCACTTTTTAATTAAAGCCACGTCGCGACGTAAAGGTCGCACAGAATCCGAAGAACCATTTATCCTTTTTCGGTGTAATCGTGAAGGCCAAAAGGTTGACCGTAAGAATCGGGGCGACAGCCGAAACAGCATCAAGATTGGGACCTTTTGCACTGCGTACCTTAAGATTTTCTTTCAAAAGGATGACACGATCCGATGTATGGGTTCGTTGACACATTGCAATCATAATATTAACTACAAAGTAAAGCAGCTTGACGGGAACATTTCGGGCCGGTTACAAGTAATCGACGATGACGACCCTGAGGCTGAGGGAGTTCAGATGGAGGCCGTTGAGGGAGCTGAGGAAGGTCAGGTGCCCATGGAGGAAATGCAGGTTATGCAGGCCGAAGGCATACAAGATGGCGAAGTTCAATACCAGATGGTACGGCCACCGCCGCGCGAGATGCACGTGGTACATGAGCAAATACCCGACGAGATGGCCGCTGACGGTGAAGAGGCTGGACACCACATGGAACAACACCAGGTTCAAATGCAGACAAGTGAACATGAGAACGAAGGGCCGATGCTGGTCGTCACCCAAGAGGACTGTAGTGCTCATCAAAGTCTGAATGCCCTTGTAGAAGACTCGATTTGGAAGATGCAGATGATTCAAAGTGAACGCAGTGGTCAACGCCTCATTTTTTATGCTGACGCTTTGCAGCAGATGATCCGCGCGGCACACGAAACGATCTCGAAAACGATTATGGACCATCTACAGAGAAATAAACGACGACAAGCGCTTGCTAACCAGCAAATTCAGCAGACTCAAATGCAGCATATGTAGATAAACTTTTCTTAATCATTTCCTGAATAAAAAAGAAAATGGCATACACGGGATGGTTCCATGAAGATTTGCGTTTCATAGCCAAAAATTAAGACTAATTGCTCCTTGGATTGCGGTACCGAACATCGAAAATAACGTGATACGCTGTTTCTTGACGAAACCATTATCTATAACGAAATAGCCATGTATGCACGTCCAATGGGGCATGTAAAGTAGGTGTATATAATAACAATAATAATATTTATTATCATTACTTATACATGATAACATATTTACCTTTACTATGCAAATAAATGCGTAGCTCGGTAATTAAGCGAACGGGTAATTAATTCGTTTGTATACGCATAATAATATCAAATCCCTCGGAATATATGCAACTTGAAACTATAGTCAACATCTAATATTGTTTCATTAAGAATTTTTTGAAAAAACATGTGCGCTTTCCGACGCAAAAGGGCGAGTAAATAAGAAGCGGTAGAACGAACAACATTGAAGGTTATGCTATAAATAATATTTTAAAGTAAAAAATATTGTCAGTACTAGTGGCCAAAAGAAATTGCCCCAAAACTTTTATAAAGTTCATCTACTAATTGAACAGTAATTATTAAGATTAAATTCGATATTTTGATTGACTCCTTTGATTAGGTTGGTCTCTCGTACATTGTACATAAATAATTCATATGAGTCATGAGTCGCGTAAAAATATTTAAAAATTTTAAGAGTACACATGTGCCGACCTTCAGTTGATACAATAAATGAGCTACGAACTGTATAGGTAAGAACTAAGGAACTTAATGCTAAAGGCAGAGAGTCCAAAGTGTAACTAATAAATGCCCATCAAGAAGAAGCACTTGAATTTTAGCGTCGAGCTAGACTATATTTGAGCAAGCGTGGTCCAAAATGGTAAAAAAAGCAATAAAAAGTGCTTTCTTCAATCATCTCGCATCATGCTTAAATATTAAATAAAGAAACTCAACGGGAATTAATGTATCTCTCAACTTGTTTGTTCTGCCTTAGTGTGTTAACCGAATACGCAATTTGGAAATCGAAATAGGGAACGAAAGGATTTACGATTCAAATTAGGTTGCGATTTAGAAACTTACCCCGCATCTTTATCAATTAAATGGCATGGATAAATGGAAAAAACAACCCTTTCTAACATTTTCTTTAAACTAGATAAAGTAAGGTGGTTGCAGTCATAGGAACTACAAGGTAAAGAGAACATAAGTGAAAAGGAACCCGGTGTAATAACCTGTTGAAAATGGTGTTTGGAGTCAAAGTCCTAAATGTGTATTAAAATACGACCTTATAGTAAATTATTATATTTAAATTTGCACGATGAAGCTGTGAATAATTGTTAAATTGTTATAATAAAGTCACAGTCTCAAAAATGCTTTCACAGAAAAACCCATTGAGAAAAATTAATTGATGATTCATTACCGAAAAACCAACTGTATATACTTTTCGAATGAATGTATCAACACGAGAACAAAGATTCGAGCGAAACATCAACGTGTGTATGACATACTAAATTAACTGTGAAATAAGCAGCTCTGTTTATTTCACAGTTGAATACATTTTTTTGAAGTTTTAATAAAACAAAAATCCTATTATAAAATTAATATAATAAAAAGGTTTTTCCTTCTTATCTAGCAATTTTGCATATTCACTGTCATAAGTTTTTTATAAACAGCAGAAGCAATTACTATAGTGTTTTACTTCTAGTGTGATGTCATATTTGCCTTAGATATAAAAAAAATTTGATCAAAACGGTGGCAGTCCATTTACACCGGATAGTTGACTCCCTCAGCAAAGTAATTGCAGTTAAGCAAATTGACTTAGAGTTCCCGAAAGAAATGGAGGTAAAACTTCTCCTACGATCTAAAGCGAGTGTAAGTTTTCTATTAACATTGTAGCTGAATAGCTGATGCTGGTGATAGAAAGAGAAAGGAAGGTAGCCAAGGTAGCAAGGATAGAACAAGACAATGGCTTAAATGAAAGCGCGTCGTGGAAGAACTACAAGTAGATAACGGACGGAGTAATAATAAAAAATCATTGCAGCGGGGTAAAAAGAATAGTGCAGCAAAGCAGTTGCCGAGTAGATTTGAACTTACTTGAGGCTAGGTCAAATAAAAAAGTGCAACGCTATGGAGTAGCATTCAATGCATATATGTATATAGTGGGAAGCAGATGCAAATAAAAGATAAGAAAGCGTCTAAACTTGTTGATAAGCGTCTAAAATGTACGTGTGCATCTCAGGCCACAAGGTCCATATATTAAGTATATATAACTAGTATAATCGTTGATCATCAAAAAGAGTTATTATAGCAAGAACGCTACTTGCTCTACAGTTTTTTTGAGCAAAATTAATAAGTCGTCGAGATAAATATATTTACACTTAGTATTTTTTTTTTAAAAAACGTTTTCATTTAAGAAAATACAAAGGCCATATATAAATCCATCGTATGAGCATACAAATTGAAATTATCACTGTGGTGAAAATACTCTGAAAATTGAAACGTTCTCTGAAGTAACTGTGTATGATTCCACTGCCGCCACAAAATATTAAGTTACATTCAAGTTAAAGGTTTTAAATAAATATTCGGAATTTTACGTAGTTTTTGCATATGGCACGTTATCCCGTGTCTTTAAAGGTACTAGTAAGCAAACATGTTATTAGTGCATCATCCCGGCTACCAAGTTGAGGATATTGATGGCCGGAAACTGCTACCATTAGTTATATCGACTAAGGCCGATTGACCGCAGGGTTTTCTAAACATAGCAATAGTCGGAAATGAAGACGTAATTTGTTTAAAGAAAAAACGCATGTTTCACACTCCACTATGTTGTACATACTATGTTCCGTAATTTTATCTTATTTATCCCGTAGAGTATAACAGCAAATAAAATGATAAAAAAAAGTTTTTTTTAAAATTAACTTAAAAGTTTTTAAGAATTGTCCTTCTATTATTATTATAATTATTATGTGAAGGTTTAGCGTGCTTACGGAATTGTGCAAACATCGAAATTGTATCAGTATGCTCTGCATAAAGCTCAGTCTCATTGGCAGAATAAAAACTGGCGTTTTATTGTTTAATATAAGCTCTAATCAGTCAAACTGTCACAATCTTCTTTTTTCATAGGGCACCCGATTAAATGCAAACCAGTGCGGTAGAATGACGCATTTGCGCTTAAGGTCCGTTGAGTGACCTACGTACTGTCTGCTCTTCACCTTCGCTACAAACAGCCGGGACCTTCAGTCAACAGAACTACAGTTTAGAGATAAGAGGCAAATACCATTGAGTCATCAAACTAGGTGATGTGGTTAGGTATTCCGTCTTCCTAGACGAGCTGGGTCCTTGCCAGAAAACAAAAGCGTCTCTGTTTACTTTTGAATCCAAGTACAAAGCTTCGTTTCACTATCGTGTTCTCGTAATAGTTTAATGCGTAGCACAATTGTCTGCTAATTTCAGAAATTCGTCGCGGTCTATGTTCGAATGCAAGACAAACACATCTAATGGAATGCCTAATGGCGGCGCTTGACATGAAACTCGAAACATTTAGAACAAGCCATCGTACTAACTCACCCAGATTTTAACCGGACATCAGTTTCACTTACATCCGATCGATAAGAACTTCTTGGGTCCTTGTTGGCTCTATGAACCAGTAGAGGAAGGTGCTACACACAACCTGGCGTATCTGCTCACAGCTGCTAAAACTTTGACAATTCAATGATGTTCTCTATATTTACGGTGTCTGTTAAGGAAGATCAAAATTATGTTGTAATATTTGATCAGCTCAATGAGTCGCGCCACAGTCGTGGCTTAAAATATAACGGTAAAATGAATTAAAGCATGTGTATTTCTGCAGCGTTAATTAACCTACTAGGCAATCCCCAAATGCACAATGACTAGTACACCTTGCTTTCATCCTCGATACATGCATCCGCATTCCGTGTTTTTGCCGATTTTCAGGACCTTGCATCCATTTTTTTCTAATATTACTTGCTAAATTTGATCTTCCTGATTTGAGCAATGTCTCGAGCTATTGCGATCACTCTCATAAAGTCTTCTGAAAGTCTCCCAAATGCCAATGGTGACTATATTTAAAGTGCGCCAGGTGGGGGGCGAAAAGATCAATCAACTCGCAAGTACCTCATTATCATAATTGTTTCAAGGTCAGTTTACCTGCCATATAGCGTTCTCGTTAGGCTAAATTTTGAGACATGATGCAGGTAACGTATTTTTAGTTGTGGTTGCATAATGAAAGTTGACACCAGATTATTACCAGCTGGTATCTTTTATATGTGTATAAATGTGCCACATAGAACTGTCGTTATAACGTGCTTCTACAGAATAAGCTGCATAAGTTCGAGTTTGCCCAATTAGTTTTTTTGTCCACAAAATATCTAAGAAGTAACACACGTAAATGGCGCCATGCAAGTGCCAGCTTGTTGATGACGTCCAAACTATTTTAGTACCGATTCAAATATATAATTCTCAAAGAGGTTCTTTTAGAAAAGTAGATATTGTAACTGTAACTTAAAAGGTATATTTTGACTCGAGAAAGCGATATTTGAATTTCATGTTTTGTAAGTTGTAACCTGTTTTGCTTAGGTTATCGTTACGTATATCATTACGTCCTTCTAAGCCTATTTAAAGATGCATTTTGAAAGACTTGCACTAAACACGCGCGATCGCTATCTGCTAAATTCCTCTAGATTATTCTTCTTCGTACTAAGCACATTATGAAATACGAAATGCGAGGTAGACAACTTTCATTTTTTAGAAGGGTACTTTTGATCCGTTTGGTTTCCTTTCTACATTAATATCAAACCACTATTTATTTGTAATTTTTCTTTTAGCTCTCTCAGCCCAGTTCTTTAATTAATTGTACTTTTGATGGGAGATGTGGCACCAGAAAGGTTCGAGTCTCCAAAGATCGCTACTACAACATTTCTGCGTCCCTCATAGATAGCATCACGTTTCGTTTCAACCTTTCGAGTTTTATGTTTGTTAATCATTCAATCGGTTATTTGGCCTCCAGCAAGAAATTTAGCGAATAAATCTAGATTGCTACGTTTTTGTATGATTAGCAGGCACTTACGTTACTCACTCAGCTATCGCGGACACTTATGCCGATTATATGTTATTTCACAGAGCGACGTTCCATTCACCTCTCATTAAAAATAAATTTTGTCTATCTGGCTAACTCGTCAAGTATATCATGTCGTTATGTAAGCACCTGATCGTTAACATCTAATACCTTGCTTAGGTCAGACTTTTGTGTTTTTATTCCAAATATGCTTTTGACACTTGGCTCGATAAAATTTTTTAGGGCCACATACGAACGGACGAAGCCAAAGCAGAATTATCTAATTAATTTTAGTCTGGACACCACAAAAGTGATAATTATATCATAAAAAAATAACAAATATATTAAATTAAATAAGGACAGAATGTGCGGGCTAACTGAGTTTTTACCTTCCAGTTCCAAGTCCATGTATTAATTGTAGCTAACCACAAATAAGTATTAGGATAAAGTAAACCTCATAAAAGTTTCTCAATAAATAGTTAGGGAAAAACCCAATTAAGTATTTCCCGTGCTTACAAAAAAAACGGTAAAGCCGAACCTGATGTCCTTTGATATTTATAGATCCTGATCAGCGAAGTTTAACGTACGATATACTATCGAGTGCCCGTGTTGTGATAAGTGATCTTCTAGCATTAGTATTAGAGACTGACGAGTGTCCAAGCTGTGTATTAAAGAATTTTCGAAAACTCGTAAACATGTCATACCTAACGTGTATGGTAAACCTTTACCAATAGGTTTAAGCAACTAAGTATGTGCTAGAAGTAGTTGGATACCACAAAGCTAACCGATGGCCACGACCTTGAGTGACGAGGTAGGTCAAGCACAAAGCGATATGAATTTTTAGGTTCGCCCAGTTATGTCCTAATTTACAGAGCTATTATTTCCATGATTTAGGTCTAATATGGAAAAAACATTGGAGAAGGACAGATATTTTTAAATGGTTCAAAATGATAAAAGAAGAATGCATATATATATATATATATATAGAGAGAGAGAGAGAAAGAGAGAGAGAGAGAGAGACAGACAGACAACGTCATCTATTATTTTCCCGTCGTATTTTGGACTGATTCCCGCAAAAAAAAAAATTCGTTTCTCACCAATGTTGACGCTAAAAGGAAACGTATCCGTGAGAATTGCGCTGTAACGTGTCTGTCTGGGCACCGTGCTCTCCAATGCAAAACTCGAAGCATTCAGACAAAGCCTTTTTACAAACTGAGAACGAAGGCGAGTTTGTTTCCACATTGAGCAAACACGATTTGGAATCTACGTCATCTTGAATTTCGTTGATAAAGCCCGTCTTTAGATCGCCAGTAGTGTACCAAAATTTCGTATTACAGAAACACAAAACTACTGCTCGTTTTATTGATTTACATTTGAACAAGAGTATAAATAAATAATAATATAGTGATTAAGTAACATAATGAAGGAATGGTTTCGTGCCTTTTACATCGCATCAGATTTTACTAGCAAATATGATTTTTTAGAAACACACAAAATACGTCTTATGAATTATACTATATAAATTAGTCAATATATTTTGATGATATTCCGTTAATTCTGTTTTAGTTACAAGGATCAAGACAGATTCCGGTATCAGATGTTAACGAGTTTTCGCCGCTGGTAACAAATATGCGATGGCGAGCTTAAGAAGCATTTTTCTAAATTAAAATTGTTTAATTAGAATACTATAGAAATTGCACACAGCAGTATAAAATGTCTGTACTAGCCAGTTAACCTGGAATATCTTTTCCATTTCCGTAAACTCTTTCAAGATACGTTTCGATCAGCAAACTACACATCACGGATACGCCCTAATCTGCCTTGGCAAACCACGCGGGATATACTATGGCGCCATCTCGTTTCAACTGACAATCGCGTAACTCCCTGACACGAGCTCTATGATGATGCTGATGACGACACGTGACCGGACCTTACTACCACGTAACAACAGAACCCACACTGTTTTCTCTCTTTCAGAAACTTTCACACTCGTATGCATACTACTTCAGATGATTTTTCTGGATTCAATCAGTCTTTTAACAATGTAATTTGATAGAACTAGGTTCTCAAGAATCGGTCGGCCTCTAAAGTAAGCCAAAATCGATACTCGATTTTTTGAAATATGAATAAGTTCGGCGTGAAGAAATGTAAAAAACAGAAATAATTACTACATCAGTGTATCAAACATATCCATTAAGCGGCAGTTGATTTATATTTTATTGTACTCCCAATAATGTTAATGATGAACTTTTACCTTAGAACTAAATTGCTAATTTCAGTCAGCTAAATTCTATCTGCTTTGTCCACACTTTTCATTATGGCTAGACAAGGGACCAACTTGTCATCGCTAGATATCGAATCGTTTTTTGACATGAGTAACTGATTGTCTATCTTTCAGAGAGTCACTGGATTCTATTTACGAGAGAACACTAGCACAATTAATTTCATTACCATGATGACGATCCTGATAAAGGCCGTATGAAGTTCACAGCATGTGGGCCAATGCTTGTTCTTAAAGATATTCTTAGTTATCCCAGTATTACTAAAGAATGTGCGTTGGCTAAAAATTACGAATTCTGTAGATAAAAAACCCACAAACGTAGTTCCTGTTATACTTATTTCTCAAATATATGTTCCCATATTGAAATGTTTCGAACTCTTGAAGACAATTACTTTATAAGCTGTGAGAATGCTTTTTTGGTCTACTGACCATAATGGTTACTAGACATCATCCTCTACATATGACAGCGACATAGGTAAGATACTAATCCGCAATTCTGCCTGTAAAGTTGTGCTCAGAATTCATTTGCGTTTCAATTGACCGTCGAACACATAAAAGGAAACCCTCAGCAACGCATACCGTTTGTCGTAAGGACCATCGCTAACGATAAATGTTCAGCGATTGAAAGTACTCAGAATTCACAGAACTAGTAATTGCTTGAGCACATCGGTTGTCTAGGGTTACCAAAAATCCCAAGCTCGTAGAGAGTTGAAAGTATTAGGAAGGCGATATACCACGTCATCAGGATAGCTCCATAGAGTCTGCTCATCCGCCAGCGATTCCAGTGTGTTAGTGCGATCAAAAAGAATAATGTCAGCAATAGCGAAATAGTCGAATACATCATTCCTGAAATGTGTATGCAGCATAAAGCAAATTCAAGTAAGAACCCGCTTTTTTAGCGGCCATTTGTAACGATTGCAAATCGATATGCATATCCACATAATAAACAAGTGGCCTGCTTGTTAAGTGCTGTCATTTTTTTGTAATCTCATTAATATCTACAGAAAACTAACTGACATCTATCGCCACAAAGTTCTAAGTAATTGCACAACAGGCATAGGGGTGATACTGATTTTGTAAAATATATTCCAGAATTTTTTATACGTCAAACAGACCTTTGCTTTCGACAAGTATAGGTATTCCGGGTTCAATAACTGCCGTTTTAATTAGCCATGGCAGGCCCAGACCGACGAGGATTTCAAAAATGTTCGACCCGAGGGCGTTGCACACAGCCATGTCACCAAATCCTTTCCTGACAACAAGCAAACTCGAGACGATGTCTGGTAGGGTTACGCCGATTGATAGAAAGGTTAAACCCATAACCGTGTCCGAGATGCTTAGCGTGAAACCTATAATCATAATTTAGCACAGAAGAGTATTTTAGGTTCCAATAATTGTTATCGACGACGACAACATCATCAGTAAGTTTTAGATTATAGTTTGAATCTCGTTAGTCGTTAAACCCCTTAGGTTGTGTCTAAGTATTCATTATTTAAGAGAGTCGAAAAAAATGCATACTACTCAAGCTCTTGTAGGACAAGCTTGACAGCTTTCACTGTGTGTGGCCTTTCTTTGGCGTAGAGAGAGGCGACTTTGCCTTATCTATCTATGCTTATTGGATAGTTTCGTTCAGGTGATGCAACTGGGCTTTAGATAGGTCCTCATTGACATCTTGTTCTTTTTAATGACCTTCCAGCGTATAAAACTCTTCCCGTCCTACCTCTGCTTTTAATTTCTTCATATAGGTTTTTTCTAATCCTATATCTCTATCATAAAACTCGCCTATTCTAACCGTATTTGATCAAAATAAACAATCCTTAAGAAGCAGTTTTTATTTTTATAATTGAATGCAGAATTACGATGGTGTGAAACTCAGTGGTAATGAAACGCATAGGTGAACTGCTAAAAAGACTTTACAAACGGCCAAATTCATCGCTCTCGGTAATGAGAGTTTTTGTTGTCCTTAAAACCTGAACTCACGGTAAAATCGTACCGCTCATTGCACAATGAGGGAAAAACGGACGTTTAGATCCATAGACCGAACATTTTGGAATCGTACTAAGCAAACAAACAATGAGTCTGTAAAAGGAAACGTTTGAGAAACTAGCGATAGTACTTATAGTTACAGTCAAACAGATTGCGGTTTGGCACAGGAGGTTCTTGCACCATAAAAAGCAAATTACATTTTTAAATCCAATTGTGACCGTTTTGGTTGCGACTTGTAGAGAACAATACAAAATTGAATCAATTTATAACCGCAGCATCGAATTGGATGGATGGATGGATGGAGGGATGATACAGCCACTTAAACTAATTTACGTACCGATGATAGTGATCATCCAGACGAGTAGATAAGATGCCAGTGTGATATAGAATGTACTCATAATAAATGTTGCAAGGAACCATTTGCGACATTTTTTCCGTTGGCAGTTGGGAATCGTCAGATGAAAAAGCATCGTAAATGGCAAGTAGAACAGCCAAAAGATCTTTAGGAAATGATTGCGGGGCGGCTTCAGAGGTGACTTGAGATCGACGTCCAATGAACCCTCAGATCCACGGCTCGAGGCTATCGGTAAAATGTCAAATTAATTCTTTATAGCCGCTTGCATGTACCCAGTTCACATGCAATAAGCAATTTCAGAGATAATAAAATATTAAGTAGTAATAGCAGTTATTTTCAGTTAGTACAGTGGTAAAGTATAGGAAGTTCCAAAGTAACATTTACGAGTCGCTTCATTTAGGTTTCTACGCAATGGGTGGTTTTTTTTTAATGAAATCAAAACTATACGCTCGATCTGCTGTCTCACCTGCTACAGCGGCCATCACCTGATTCTTCATGATTTCATTAGCAATAATCTGCTCGTTGACGACTGTGCATTGGTGAAAAAATAAGTCGAAAAAAACGCAACATTGTTAGTAGAGCAAATTATAATTAGATAATAGTTTTGAGCCTCTTGTTAACTTACTTCGTAGTAATCAATTGTCACCGTACTCATTTTGGATACTTTTGACAACACAAATTATCGGTATATATCATATATGCAGATCTTTTACGCCATCGACATGACATGTTCAGTTTGGCCATACAGGTCAGGCATGATTATCGATGAATCAATTCTATTCAAGTAACTCGGCTGGCGTATAGCACTGCAGTTATACATCCTGATAGAAGTTCGTTCCCATGATCGCTTGAAAGCTGTCAAAGGATCAACAGAATCTTTGTGTTTGCCATCGAAGTCTGTGGAAATAGAGTGAATTATACAAATTACCACATACTTACACTTGCCTCTGTATAATACAGATATCAAAGAGATCGTTAGTTGCACAAAACACTTGGTTTTCGAACACGACATTATTAAATCTAGCCAATCTTAATTATACAAGAAGTGCTTCTATTGGAATCTGCACACATCTATCACACTGAATTCGTTGGCATCATGAGCATTAACTCAGAAAACCATCATTGATAAACGCCTCTTATTTACGCAGTTATGTTATTGCAATGCATCGTCTGTTTAAAAGATTCTGTTGTCTGACATCTGATATTATTTGACAAGAACAGATACGTTTCTAGAAGATCCTGCTTTTGTACCGGAAACCTTGCTGAACTCTATCTTTGGAAAAGTATCAGGAAGCTTACCGCTGCTTCGTTTTAGGGAAATCAGCGACATACGTCGGCGTTGACCCTCGAGGAGGACCCGAACAGATGGAGGAAGCTCCACGATCGATTTGCGGTAAGGGTTCAACGATAGCCTCCGCTCGGTTACCCTTAGGGAACCTGCCAGATAGAAATATGGCCATGGTCAACGAATCGAACTTGATAAAATAAATACCAACAAGTAAAATACATTTGAATGATCCAAAACTGCATTTCTACTGCTTGATACATGCAGTTTTGAGGATTTCACTTGCCACTTGATTTGGCACAGCGTGACAACACATATCTTAAATACGTGAGAGGTTGAGGTTATGCCCATGAAAAAATTACAAATCTGCAACAACCATCCTTATAATTATTCCGTAAGCCTATTTTTTCATATTCTCATATACATAGAGTAATATGTTTACAGCGGTTATGACAGACGTGTTCTTATCTAATTAGTGTTTTTTTGAAATTCTGCCTTCAGCGACGAAAAGGTTTGAAGTATCGTTCGTAATAAATTATTGAAGGACGGCCCAATTTATTTAGGTGCGTAAAATAGGTTACGGGCAATGAAAAATAGCGTACATTTATAGCAACCAGAAGCAAAATAGTAGAGGCCATAGTATCAACAATTGCAACAGCATCAACGCGGCTATAATAATTATAAATCTAATATTATAATAAACTGTAACAATACAAAAGTATCAGTGGGTTCAAACACGAGCCGCCCACTCTTGCAACAGACCTAGTCTTTTTTTAGTACAAGCCAATCTTCTAACCGTAATATTAGGCTCACTTTATGAAGTAAAAACCGTACGCTTCCAAGCGCTAATACTAGCAAACGTCTTCAGTAACGAAGACAATAGCAAGTTTTAAAAACTAGAGAAATTAAACATTTACCTTATAGCAGCAACTCCGAACGTCAGCTTCTACGTAAGATAGACGCCGCTTATGATAAAGTCGCGTTACTATGGATTAGTGCCATAGGAAGGCCTCAGTTTCTAAAGAACTATACCGAGTGACGTGTATCAAACTCAAACGCCAGTAAATACTGAATTCTGGGGCCACATTGCACGAGTTCGCACGTTAGCCCACGCATTTGCTAGCAGCAGTTTTTCTGCCGTTACAGTAATAAACTAAATAAATAAAATAGACCAATAAAATAGACTATTGTTATTGACTAACAAAGCACCCGCATTAGAGATACGACAGCCGCAACGTTTACATAGCTTCTCTTAGTTTTCACCCTAAAAAAAAGCTTCACTACGATCATCCACGGTGCCCCTGAATTCGTATTCCAATTGGACTTGATTTAGACCAAGTCACCTTTTGTTGATTCAGACCTTCACGTGCACGACACTGACACTCCCTGTTGAGTCGATTTGTTTGATTCAAAACCCCTTATATTCGATCGTAGCCGACCAATTCTATATATCGATACTGACTTAGACAGAGGCTGAATGATTGAAATCCAGATAAACGTAAGGCACTCAACTAACGGCAACCGTTTACCAACAGCGCGACCACAACAGCCAGCCAAGAACAACATAAGCCCGTTATCGAAAACATAGTTATTATCTTACTATTATTTTCGTTTCGAAAATTTTGAATACGTAATCTTGTAACTGCCGTCTGTGCATTCTCACATTAAAGCGGAGGTGAGACTCATTGCCGAGCGTATCGCCTATGTAGAAACTCAAATACTGCCTAGACAGGCGATTGGTGGTCAACTATAACTTCATCTTTCAAACCCAATCGCACAGCACTAAAGCGAGCTATTCTTTAAAAGGGTATTGGCTTTAGTAAACGGCATTATTCTACCCCATATTGGCGCGCCCCATGTCGACAGAAACATCGGCAAACATGCGTTCAAAATGCGAGCAAACGATGTGAGTCGTAAACCTGATATGTCGCTTTTCGGCGATTGCCTCGCTGTAATCGGACTTCAGTTAAGACAGCCTTCACGTTTGGTACTGCGTACAGCCGGCGCTCAACAACGAGATGGTGGTGATTTTGCGTTTGCGTTCGCAAAGTGAGACTGTGTGATCATTTACGAACTCCGAAAGCCTAGTCAAAGACTGAACCGCTGAGGATCGGGAAGAAGTCTGTTCCAGACGAACGCCCACCGTGCCGTCAGACATGTTGAGGAACCGATGTTCCAAAAACTGCGTTGCCGAAATTCAAATATCCGTCAGAAGTTGTGGCTTATGGTTTGTTGCAGATGCACTGGAATGATGCATTTCGCACAGAAAATCCGATACAGGAATGGTTCCCTGAAGGTGGCTACGTGCCAATGCATGATGGAGCATACCACAGAGCTCGGATTACCTTTAGGCTACTTGCTGTCACTGACATTCAGGTGTTGCCATGGTCTGCTAGTCCTATAAACGTTAACTCCGCAAAGAAGTCTGATAAACCATAGAATCGTCGGATTTGGAATGAGCAGTAAGTTCCAGGTGTTTGTGAAAGAATCAACGATGTATGGCACCAGAATCCCCTCACAGCTCAAACCTGTACAAGAATCATACTCTAAACAGTGACGGCACTTATCGTTTCAAAGGGAGATGCCACTAAACACTGATGCTAGCAGCTGAGCGGCTGCGGCTTCTAAATATTTGCCGATTTCCATATGGAGTTTATTTGATCCGACACTGAGTGAACAAACAGGCCACAGTTGGGTGAAACCAGAAGATGATGATCGTTCTCGTAAGAAGTCTGCGAACACTAAATCAATATATTTAACTCATATAAGAGATATATGATTCACAAAGCTGCTGAAGACATAGGCAGGAATATAGATTTTCTAAGTCGCAGAATTGGAACGGTTTCGTGTGAAGATGGTTATGTTTCGTGAAAATTAACGGTGCTACGAAAATGTTGCTCTTGACGACTGATTGCAAGACCATTACGCGCTAGATGAATAACGCCTCTGTGATTCGGCAGCACAAAACGAACTGCCTTACGGCGATACCGGACGTAAAACTCAAAAACTATAAACATGAATAACACCTAGTTTAAAGTCTAAGTTTTTTTTGTCAGAGATGTTCTCAATTTCACAGGATTCATATCAATTATGTTTATTTTATTTATGGTTCAAGTTAGTAAGTGTAGTCATTACTACAAAATGTGTCGACTGCCAACTGATTGATACTTCCCCCAACGAGAAATAGCTTCCCCTATTTCTAAGGAAGCTGAATTGACAACAACCGGATTATCAACTGGAGTTTAAAGTTCGATATGCATCTTGCTTACTGTAAGACGAATTTTGTTTTGTCGTAAAGGTCTTGGCGTTTGTCGATCTGTTAATTTTACTTCAAATAGACCGTAACTAAGTATCATAAGCTCATACTATGTAAATTGTATGCTCTTTGTTAACGGCCTTCATTTCTATAACTCTATCGAAATTCAGTTGTCGGTCTGGAGTCCGAAATTTTATATTTTATTATCAACTAAGTTACCGTTTATGGTTCAAGCAATCGCACTAAAAGTTATTTTATCGCAAAACATGCAGTCTTTAAACTCTTTTGTAATAGTTAGTACGCATAGCAGTTGTTGTTCCGACAAAAGCTTATTTCTGTGTAGAACCGTGTATTGTCGTTTGACGAGCCTTACTTTATTATTATGCAATGTAAGGTAGCATGCACGCATATGCGGTACTGCTGAAAGCGGGCCGAAGCACTTACCTGCCTGGGGAAACTGACGGTTGCCAGAACAAATGACATCTACTTTCAGCCCCCTTCCAGCAATGCGGTTTACCTTGAGGAGCCGAATCGAACTCCTTCGTCGAAATGGTCGTTGGAACAGGAGCACTTGCGTCCTGCGTTGTTGCCTGGGCAGGAAACATTCCTTCTGGGTAGTCGACACGGTCTTGCAGGAACGAAAACCTCTTGACAAAAAACGCTTCGAGTTTAGCGTCAAACGACATGAATATGGCATAAATGAAGTAACAGGCAACAAGAATCGTAGCCTCGTACCTATCCAAAAAGAAAAAGATGATTGAAAGCATCAACTATTAAAATTACCGGCTTGTTTAACAAGCCTGGTAGTGAAGAACAACAAAATAAAATAGGTTTAGCTTCGAAAGTTATCGACATTGATCCTATTAAAAACACTCTGAGAGATAGGAGGTCTAAGAACCTGCTAAGGTTAGGCTTGCGACCCAATGTATGAAAAAAGCCAACACCATGGGTGACTAACCATGTGATGAGATCATCATACATGGCAATCAGCATTACGATAACGCTGATTAGGAAGAACAAGCTGTCTCGATACATTGGCCATCGATGAAGTGTTACCACCTAAACCATACAGACAAAAAGGTAACTATAATTAGACCCTAAGAGAAAAGCGATTATGGTGTTCTTATGATGTTTGCACTTGACACACTGTTAATCTAAATGGCCTAGGGTTTAATCTTTCTAAGTTATCGAGGCTGCCTGAATAGAATACTTATCAATAGAAACAGCTAAATGCTTCAATAGTACCCATATTCTTAATAGCTCAGCCATGTTTCTGCTTACCCTATACCGACGGTGGTATACCACCCGTTGAAAGCCCACTTCGAAGCGAATTCAACAATCTTAATTACAGATATTTCATTAATAAAGAAATAATTTAGTACAAAATGTAATTATTCATTCAATTCTTTCCTAAACGTTCTAAGAGAAGTGCCTACCTTTTTTTTTACCAACTTATGCATTCGTGCATTAGTCAGTACCCACTAACAATACCCCATGGGAGCACACGTTGATAAATTCGGCATGCAAGCTGGAAGTTATAGTCCGTTCCTCCTATCTCGATTGAGGTCTGTTATTATTGATAAACAATTTGTGACACGGCCATTTCATTCGGAGCTATGTCGCTTGAGCCGGATTCACATATATTCCGTAACATTTATCTTAGACGGTACTAGTGACAGCCTCAGTGCGTCTCACCTTTATCATGAAGTAATATCTAAGATGTTGCGTTCGAGGCAACTGACCGCAAAAAAATTATATTTGGAAATCTATTGCTCGAGACACCAGGGTACAGCCTTCGGTAACATATGCTCACCGAACTTCTACATCAACTAAATATAGCAGAACAAACGATAGTAAATATGCCCTAAACAAAATTACTTATTACTTAGATAACACGGTGCTTTTGTCTTTCGCTACGGTGTGCAAAGCCTGAATTTTTCAAACAAATATGAAATTGATCATTGATTACAGAAAGTGAGATTTAGGAGAGTCCTTGGATCGATCCTAAAGCAGCCTACCATAACAATGGAGCTGTTTGGTGTGAGTTAGTTAAACGCCGAGAAACGTCATCAAAAGGCTGTAGTTACATTACGAATACGTGACCCGTTATGACTTCGCAGTTATATTGTAATGTCATAGGCTAAAAAAGATTCCCCACCGCCATATTTCGACGAGTCTCATATATTCTCGCCATATTACGAGTGCCATATTACTTGGACCGTGCGTAAATCTCGAGTATCAATGCGTGTTGTGGCGAATACCCATTTACCTTATGACCAATAAGCGTCTTTTCTTCAGTAGCAGTTTAAGATCACTTTTTTAGTGAGGGGGTTGTTACGTAGATTATCATTAAAAAGCAGAAAGAGAAAACCTCCACATAAAAAAGTATTCACGCAGGTTCGCCATATTCCATCAAATTCGATAGTATGCGAAATTTCTAGGTAGTATCAAGGTTAGACTATGGCTGTATATGCACGAGGGCTAGACATTTGTGCCAGCCGTACCACACTCAAGCGTACGGCTGACAAAAATGTTGATACATTGAATATGCGTCCGCCCGACTATGGATAGGTAGCCATGTTTGAATAACGAAAGGATCCGATTTATTCTTCTTTAACGTTACATCAACAATCACTACCTGACTCCAATTCGAGATCGATATCCTGTTCGTAATCTTGAATTTTGTCTAAAGGAACTAGGGTCGGTTGCTGATATAGTTTATTCCTGCGGTATATAGTATAAATGCATTCACAAGTAAACCACTCTGTTTCTAGACCTTAACAAGTACATGGCCTATGCGCCTATCGTAAAGATAACTGCTGCGTGAAGTAGGCGTACGCTTAATTTAGGGAGACGGGCTTTACGTATATGTGACGTCAGTGAGGTAAGAGTCTTTTGTGTGTCCGTCGACATGCTCAAAAGCTAGATATGTTTGTGCTATAAAAATATAGACGGTCGATTGCACTACCTGGTCGATTGAAATTTCGAATAAAACACATTTGTCCACCAATTATCAGAAAAACAAGTTCAGCCTCCGTGTAAAAATAATCATATTACTATCAGAATTAAAAGGCTCGGTCGGCCTGATCAATTTAAATAAGAATTCAAGTGAGATTGTAGTAAAACTACAAATTGACATTGTTTTAAATGTTCAAATATAACCGCCACATTCGAAATCCGTGCTAGGCTGCCGTCTGCGTTCAAACAGCTTTATCATAAACATAATAAAAACGGTCAGCTATCTTGAAACGATCGTCACGAAAGCGATACCCATTCAACAACCTCTGCGTGTCCTATCAAAACTTAGAACAGGCAGAAGTACAATGTGATGGTTAGTAACTTCGTATTGTGCCGTTTTAGTATCTTCCTTAGTAATCTCTAATGCGGTCTGCTTAGCTCGCTGGCTTTGGAAAGTATCTTCCCATCTTCGAAAGTATAGGAAACCAATTCCACTATAACCGAACAGTAACGCTATATGTTTGCGTCGCACTATTCCTCTCGAACGATATTTTATTTTCGTTATTACTTGACTCACTGGGTCATTATTTATTCATACTCAAACGTTTGATTCTTGCCAAATTGCTTCGCAAACCTTGACCCAGATTTCTATAGAAGCCAAGCGCGTAATTTGAAAGTCTTCATGACCCCAATTATGTTTCTAACCATCGGATCGTTGACAAGTTTCTTCTGATCTGTTGGATTTCTTTTGTGTGAATTTTGCACATTCAGCCAGAATTCATATAATTTAGTTAAAGAGCCAATTTAATTCCAATTTCGTCAATCGAATTTCAGAAGTTGCAATGATCGTTGAAAGGGTCAGGCCACAACATATTGCTTAGTAATGGCAAACGAAGTGGACTGAACCGTTATATCACAAACGTAGAAACTAGGACTTCTCTATATATGCATTTATGGAACTACCTGTTATTTTTCTTAGGATAAGGGACATATTCTGATGACGTGTTCGACGTTTAAAGAGATTTGGAGTATTATAAACTAGATGTTATGTTTTCTTACAGCTAGAACCTTTTCAGCCGCCTGTGCCCTTGCAATGAGTAATGACGCACGTGTTTCACATCAGACAACGGCTGTACTAACTACTGTAGAAATATAAAACTGAAAACTTGGATAAGCGTTATTCAAATATTCATTACGCGTTTCAGGAAGAGGGAAGTGATTAACTTTGCAATTTCACTAAAACCTGCAGCTCATCAAACCACGACTTCAAGCGGAAGAGGAATTCCATAAAGATCTATCTAAGACATTTTTCCTAACCTAATTTCATGCCCAGGTATCGCATTGATCTAAATCGATAACATAAAAAATAGATTTACCTTTCCAGCAAAAAGAGCGCTTACACTGACAACTCCAGCAGCGTTTAGCACGGCCGATCCTAATGCGGTACTGACTCCCAAATCACCCTAAAACAATGACCCATTACATATTTATTATGGAAATTGTGCTGCTACATATATACAAAAATTCAATCGGAAATCTTGAATGTTTTCTAGATAAATATCGCTTACACAATAGGATCTGCGTTTAGGAATAGATTTTTGTCAAGGCTCACCATCACAACTGACCAAGGCAGACATCTATATCAAACTCTTCATTAAACGAAAAGACAGTGTTTACGATTTGGTTTTATGACCGACGTTCTATTCTACGCTGAAAAACAGAGATTTACAACAAATAACAAGTCGCTAAATTAAATGCTTCGATAGCGGATAGCTTCGAGTGCTTTAATCGATCACCTTAGCAACGAGGATAGCAATAATCGATGCAGCGATAGCCGGTACGGAACTGGCAGCGGCCATGAACGTGGCTCCAGCTACGTCAAGGTCAATTTGAAGAGACTCTGTGAGAACCTGTTGATACGAGCTCGTTAGCGGAGTTGATGCAAAGAAGCCATGTTGCGTGGATAATTTCAGCCCAATATGATTGTATTGCCCCATATCTTTACTTGTTTAGGATCTTAAAAATGTACCACACGTGTATAAACATCGGCCAGCCGCATGCCAATGGGTACTTTCGTGAAATATTTAATTGAGAAATCTGCGTCAGTTTTTATCGACGCGGTTTATTCGGCAAACATCAATAAAAATAGTAATAAAATATGATAAATAATTAAAAGTCAGCCAGAGCGAATTCAACCGTATCTGAAGGCACATCAACTAAATGTAGTCATAAGGCAAGATATAAAACTTTTGAATTAATTTGTAATCGTGCATTAAATGTCAGGCTTCTAAACATTGATCGTTCTTCAACAGTTACGATTGCTGTCAACGTCCACGCAGCCTACATATTGCTTTGGCAGATCAAACTCTCAACGTTTCTATCTTCCTTTGAGAGAACTCCCTTGAATGACCAACCTGAAAATAAATTGAATAGCCGCTCTATGACATAAATGATGCCTCACTATAAAGAACGTTCAACGTGTATTTGCACCTATAGGAGAAAGCAGTTGTCGTAAATATCATGATGAAGTATAGCAGGAACGTACGTTACGTCATATACGCTACGCCGAAGACATAGCTACACTATCAATAGCAAACTGAACCCAGGTATTTCGATGGCTATATAATCATGTTTGCAACAACACATCAAATACGAGCTGGAATACACACACACACACACACACACAAATACATGAGATAGACTTGATTCTGTAGGTAAATAACGCTGTAAAACGGGTAAAAAACCGCTGGACTTAATAGGAAAGAATAGTGCGAAAGCAACATATTGATGCACCAAGTTCATCCAGGCTCGTCTATCTACGTTTGTCTCGTATTGAAAGCCAACCTGATATTATCATGATGCTGTAGGCCCGACCTAAAGTCTCCTCGACCTCGAATGAATGGTTTCTGATAAAAGAAAACGTTTTATATCGGTCTTCGCTAAGTATTCAATTAATGCTCTGTCCTCATCTGCACGCTAAAAGAAAGCTAAGAGCATTTCACACTATTGGCAGCTACTACGATTCTCAAGACAAACAACGATTAGATGAGTTGACGTAATACGGCAAAATACTTATGCTCTTCAGTTTAAACCCAGTTAATCGTACAATTGCTGACCGTCAAAATCCATAATAAATGGCGAGTCCTCAGCTAGAGTTCATTATTATTCGAGCTATCTTCTTCTAATATATGAAGATCGTTAACTTATACCAATATCAAAGGGTGACACCTGTCTCTTCTTTAGCCGCAGCCGTCGACGTCAATCACGCGCCACTTGCTTCACATCGAATACACAGATTAACTTCCGATTATCCTCTACTTTGCCTAATTAACCGGCCAGAAACTTTAGTAAGTCGCTCTTTAAAGAGAAATACGATTTTTAGTTATACCGTTATCCTCGGATGGCTACGATTTTTCGATGAATACCATGGGGTCAGTGTGTTTTCGCCATTTTCGAGGAAGTCGAAATTCATATTCCCTACTCACCGTGACGTCTACGCAATTGGTGTCCACTGATATGATGTACTGTAAACTTCCCTCGAATTTCGTTGCGATAATGCGTTTTATAAATATTTTTGCCGTTTCAGTTGGCAACATCTGTTACTAGGAAACATTTTGAATTAAGTAGACGCTATTACAGTGATCTTAGCAATTAAATCCTAGCGTTGGCCGTTATCCGTAGCTATAAAGTGGTGCTGGTAAGCAAAATTTAAATCAAACGCAGCTTTCTCATATTTTGTTACGCAGGTGCTGCAATAGCCGGTCAAAATACCTACCTCAATAGCAGGAACGAAATATTCTTCACAGAGAGTGGACAACGCGGCAAACATGTATATAGCAACAATAATGTGTACTGCCAGCCACCCCCGACGGCGTTGTTGTATTGTGAGCATCGGCTTGGGAAACTGCTCAACTGCTGCAGGAGTGCAGTTTTCCAGAGGAGACCCAATTATTGACACACCGTTTTCTGTAATAATAACCCCAACATCATACTTTATTGAAAACGCATAAAAACACAGCCTGTTTTTTTCGAGATAAAAAGGTTTTCATTTAGAGCTCGGTAAGAGATCGTGTATAGTAAGCGCACGCAGTTGTCCCGGACACTTTTTTAAAAGGCTTAACAAGTAAGCACCACTGGCTGGCGAGCATCTATTTTACAATGGGTCTGGAAAACATGCAGGCTAAAAATAATGTTTTGACAAACTACTTAGTTATTGCAGACATTAGAAATACATGAAAATTAAAATGTTACATTTAATATTAACGATGATTTATAAAATCCAAAAAGAAAGCCGTAGGTATACATCATTGAAGTCATCTTATCTGTTTCGTGATATAGTTAGATAAAAACGTGTGTTCTATGTAATTTACGAACACTTTGGACAGCACAAAAGCTATCGGCAAATGGAGCTATTTTATATCATTCCGTGCAGGCTTCAAGATCCATTCATACGATCATCCCACATTACGTCGTACAAACATATGCGAGCAGGAAACTAAAACACCTACGAAAAAAAAAATTATTTAGAAAGCGGTTTGTAACAGAATTGACGTCCTGCACAAGATCGCCAAGACTGTGAACGTAAATAAATCGCTAATACGTGGAATGAAATCCTATACAAACTTGAATTTTAGTTAGCCAAATTTTTCATCATATTGTTGAGCGTTTTTTTGCATGCTTTGCAGTACACAGGCGTAATCCATGCCATTTTTAGTAGACGGATAATAAGTGCCAACTGCTGTATATGATATTTTTATCTTTGTATAACGTCTATACACCTAATCTGTGTATATATTCAAGCTATCCTATTCAAAAACGATAGTTGAACCTCGCCTCTAGAAGTTACCTTACTTGACTTCGGCAAACGAAATTAATTACCTTTATATAAAAATATATATTTATATATATAGTATATCAATATAAATTATATAAAAAATCAATTACTTTTTAGTGAACTTCAACAACAAACATACGTTGATGTTACGAACTAGGTTATAATGACAAAAATATCGTTCCGAGAAGTGACAACAGTCGTTAATAATGGCAGCCAACGTATAGGCTGTGTGCTTCGTGACAGCCTGAAATTAGGCATGCCTAAACACATCGGCAGTTATCACACATTGATTTTGGTGACGGTTTAGCAAGCCACGCTGCAGAACGAAAAATCCATTCTCTGTTAATGTCAATAGGGAACACGATGTGTCGTAGATTAAACCATATATATAAAAAAAAAAAAAAAAAAAAAACTATATTCGACAAAAGCTGTTATTTACTTTGAAAACCTTACTTAAACATGCAGCACTAGAGATAATACAATGTCCTATACAATTAGTATAATTAAGTGGCGGTCAACTCCTAGTTGTCGGCCACACAGGCGTCTGCCAACTCAATAACGGACTTCTTTGTGCTAAGCTTGCCGATTCTGCGAAGATGCATCCCGTAAAATAAACTTGTTATGAGGTATACGTAAGACTAAACAAACAGATAAAATCTCATTTATAAATGGTATCTCACGATGCTCATAACTGTCGTTGGAGCAGAAAAAGTACCTTAGCTAGTGTTATGATACGAAAGAGTTCAATGTTTCTTCTATACTGGGACGTGTTCTTTATCGAATGTGAAGCGTGAATATTTATTAGAAAATCTATAACAATGAGCCTGACAAGATTACGCCAGACGTAAAAATTTATACGCTCTGTACTTCAATTCATATTAACTTTAACAAAATGATATCACTAGCCCGGTTTTTTCAAAGTGCAATATTTGACGTAAACGAAGACATCACGCGGTTCTAGCATTTCACTAAAAAGTTTTTCGCGAAGTACATCGTAACGCTTCTGCCTAACCGGACCGTCTATGTAAACCAAGCTACAAACTAATCCAAATATAAGAGTGTTCTGGGTCATTAGTTACTTCTATAGAAATGCTATCCTTAGCTACACTGTGCAGACCCTTTATCACCTGTTCTTATGTTCATTTGATTAAAATTAACTAAACGGCCTACGGCCTGAAGGTTTTACTTGCTCAGTAGACCGACGATTGATTGACAGACCTCTTATAAATTGTGCTTCGAATCACGGCCACTTGAAAGTACCTGGATCAAACGAAGACGATATAAGCCAGTTCAAGTACAACTTGAAACACCTGTAGGCATATTACATTTTTAGAGGTAGAAAGTTATGTAAACCAAAATTTACTATAGAGGGTAGCTCTGCGGCATTATTGGAACACTGGCAAGAGATATTCCGGCACCAAATTTATATTCACGATTATGTCTCTAATGGGGTCAAACGTGAGTTTCATATAATATATCATAAGTTGATATTTTATGCCCTCATATGTTTAGTTTCATCCAAAAATTCGTCTTAAACATAGTCCATTTACTAAGAAACGTACTTGATCAATAATTTGTCGAAGGTTCAGCATTCGTAGATTCTTCAGATTTGTCAAGATTGCCATATTGGCCGCTGTAAAAGCATACAGGCTTCTAGAAGCTTAAAAACGTCGACGGATCGCGTGCAGCTACTAAATCCAATTATTGCCCATACGCTCTAAAATTGGAAGGCTCTATGACCTTAATTCAGGTATATTTCTGAAACATTCTTTACTGGCTCGTTTTACGCAACATAAGTGACGGCCGTGTAGAGGTAGATTTGTAATATCTCTTAAATCCTGTTTAGAATGCTACATTTATTGTGTAAAAGAAGTACATTAAGAAAAGCCGTGCTCCTTTTCGAAGGAAGGTTACTAACGCATTGAGGTATTAGGAGAGGCAGTATTGAAGTATTAGGAAACGTTCTTCATACCAGGTAAAAAAGTGTTTTCCAGTGATTCTGCTCAGTTAAATAAATAATCGTAGAATGAAGTACTTTCATTTTTAGGTCTCAAAATATTCCATAATAGAATATTATGGAAGAGGGCAGGCATAGCCTGTGAAGGCCAAGAAGGTACACGATGCCTGTAGTTAGCTACCTTTTAACCAGTCCATTTACTATCTTTGGATGTTCGTGCTATTGATCAATGCACGATAAAAGCGAAACGTAGTACTTAGAATAGAGTCGTTCACTTCATAATTACAGTGGCTATAATAAAAATAATAGTGATCAAAATAATCAGCTGAGGATCGCCAAAGCTGATACAATTATCGCACACCTGGTAGCCATTTTAATTAAAGACCCAAACACGGTCCTCTCTTACAATTATGTGTGCCCTGTGGAATGAGACAGACAGAGAGATAGAGGGAGGGAGAGAGAAGAGGGACAGAAATAAGAGTAGTTTTCTGTTAGACCTGAACACGGAATTCATACCGTAACTGGTAGAAGCAGTTTGTATTCTCGTTGGTCTTAGACTAGCTAAGTAGACCGTAGATTGCTCACAGTAGGTATTTCAACGATACATCCGACAGACTATTTAAACCTTCAATGACATTTATTGCGCTAAATATGAGTTACATTAAATTATAGAGGGACTCGATTCCAAAAATCGTGAGCGTGTCAGCTATGTGGTCCTAATTCATAATATATTGTTATATTCTCTTTCCTTTAACACAATGATTTCTTCCGTTATCAAGCACGTTTAGGCCACAAATATATACATACGAATTTGCGGACATTTTCGCAGCATAAAAAGATAAAATAGAGCGAGTACCCTACTGTATATATATATATATATATATATATATATATATATATATATATATATATATATAGATAAGTACATGAATTAATTCTAATTGCGCTTATAAGAGACAACGATTCAAACAAAAAAGAAATGAGAGTTTGTGCATATTTACTTCAACTTCCGATACTTTCTCCTCGCGTATACATGTGCGTTAAAATATGTTTATGAAATTTCAGCCTACTCACCATGATATATATTTGAGAGCGGGTGTATAGAAGATGATAGATAAGTCGGTTCATTATGATTCACCGCAGCAAACACAACGTGCGCTAGGAGCAGTGCGCCTGGAATAATCACGTGCTTTCGCATTGGATTTCTGTACGTGCGTACAGCATGTAGCCGGTCCCCCATCGCTTACGGCCGAACAACGCTTTGTTGCTTTCGTAATTTTTTTTTCGGTCGTTATAACTAGAAGTTGGCTAACTTCTCTTTTCTGCTGTCGAAGTCTGTGTAACTTGTGCCGAGACATGTACGGCTCATGTACGCAGCTTACATTGGATTATCTATAGTGGCTCAATCAAATGGTTCCATTTTTGTTTGTTGCTTCTTATTTCTGATTGAATTCACTTCGTGGTAATAATGAAAAGCAGGAGGCTCTAGAGTTTCAGATCATCACACATTGTAAAACAGTTACTAGTTTTTCATTTAAAAGCACTAATACATATGGTGGTGTCACTCGATGCCCAGAATTCTTCCTTTTCACTTCTAAAGTCTAACATACACACAAAGGCACACAAAATGCAAATCTTCACGGCGACACTCGTCGAGGGGACGATGAAGGATCAGTTGGTAGCAGAAGATTTATGACACTCACTCTTTTCGTGTTCCATTTTTTCGTTGTCAACTTTTTTTTTCTTGTTACCTTCGGCAGCCTCAACTTACGTCAGTTATATCAAAGACAATGAAGTGGATCCATAAAAAACATTCAGCATTTTTCTTATCGCTGTTAGCTTACAATATCTTCGTGCCCTGTTTCAGCTGTTCAATTATTCGCACCCACCCGACGTCACTGACGAAGTAATAGGAAATGTAAAAAGGTTTCAGCCTACCCTGGAGTATTTTGTGCTAGGAAAATGTAGCCTCCTTGCTCTTTCGACCATTGACTAGGTGACTGTCACACCTATCGCCAAGTTCGACAACCTAAAGGAATCACCCTCGCCTGGGAGAGACTGTATGTGGGCCCGGTCTGTCTGTCGTCCTGCCTAACACTGATGGCAGTGGCCACTAAACTCAGCGAACGCGACATCTGGAAAAGCGATTACAACCGCCCTTCTGTCTGTCGTCCTTCCTTCAGGCTGGACTCGTGGTAACTGCCGGAAGACAACTGAATATCTCTCTAGCAGACCATAAATGTTTTAAGCTCTACGTCCGGTGCTATCATTAAATGTCGCTTCAGACTCCTGTGCAGTTAATGAAGTGCTGTCCTGGCTAGAACAATGAAAGAAGAGGAAAAATCGAGGAGATCGCTTGTATTTGAACGCATCATCTGAATTTCTATCGTAGTATTATCGGAAATTGTTATCTATGGCTATGTCTAAGTAGGAGCTGGGGATCCGGCGTCTTTAACGAGTAGGACGATGGTAGTTGCGGTACGATCGTCAACGGCACCTTCCCTCCCCTCAAACATCGATAACAATTGACAGCTGTTTCAAGCGCTTCTCGCTACTCCTAGTACCTAGTATCTATTCTGTTGTTCTTTCTTTCCAGTCTGAACAGCAATCATGCAAATCACGCAATTTTTAGGGCTATCCAGATCTTTGTTCTTGGTAAATGCAGACTATTCCCGAGTCACTGTTACCCATTTTTAAACGTTTTTCTGGATAAGTAGCGCAGGTTATACGCGTACGTCACAGCGGATAGCACTAACAAGTTTTATGGATTATTCAAATCAGATTCTTTGAAACATTTTTCTAACAGACCAAATATATAATGTATCAAAGTAACGCTTTATATTAACCCAGTCACTGAATAATTCAAAGTAGGAACTAGAAACTTATATTAAGGGTTGTTAATTTTGATGTGTCATTTCCTGAAGGCTACAAGAAATTCAGACAGGCACAGATACGTTTACAAGACGGACATTTGCTAACCAAGTCGGCCCCATTGTTCGGGTCTACTTTTTACATCTATTCTAAATTTTTTTAATCAATAATTATTGTACAATGAAAGAATCGTTGGACAATTAGAGTAGATTACATACGCGATCTATCATTGGTTGGACGCACATGTACGCTTCTACTGAATACGCTCTGGCGAGACGACTGTTAAGTGCGAGAACAAGCAAAAATAATGAAGTCAATTCTGAGAGAAAAGGTAAAAAACAAATGGCTTACGTATTACGAACGGACACTGATCGAGGTAACTAAGTGAGGGAAACAGAGAATGATAGTAGATAACAGCTAACGCCGTTCACTCACAGAGTAGAGCAAGAGTATATATAGATGTCAGGCGATTATTTACATGATATATGAAAATTGCTGAAAAACGTGTACCTGTCATTTTTAGGCTCGTCGACTAGGATAGTGGATATCTGTAAAGGATATTATATGAGGAACCTAGGTGGACAGGTAAAAACTAAATCATATGAAATGGTAAGGAAAGGAAATAGGAAGCAAACAGGTGGATAATGAATCTGATATAATGTGACCGAGAGAAAATCGCACACTAATTCGAAAGAGCCAGGACCACTCGTAGGTTGTAAAAAAAGAGCATATCAAATACAAAAATGGAGGGAGGACGAAATATCGAGAAACAGAAAACCAATCATATAGACAATGCGGAAAAAGCGACATACTGAAGCGGAACATGTGTGATGAATTGAGAGACCCTAGAAATTACGTAAAATTGGGACACAAAATTAGCTAAATGAAAACATGCTATAAAGTGAATTAAATCGAACGATATAACACACAGGAAATATGAGTTATATTTTTTAAAAAAAGCTGGAAAATTTTAAAATATTTGATAGTTTCTATAGTTTCAAAAATTCTTGCGAATGTACCACATCTTAATTAAAATTATAATGTAACAGCATAATTTGTTCACGTACGTTTCTTTACGTATCCAAAAAATTAGTATTAAAATAATTTGCACAAAATTACTTTTCAGTGAGATGTAATTTTCAAATCAACAACAACTATGTCCAAACGACCTCATAATGATTTTATGTGGCGAGCAGAAACTTGCCAAGATAATCAATGAATGTGCTACAAATTCCAAATGGTCAAAAGACGGCCATAGCTCGTATGTGCTGAGGTTATACAAAAACTCCAGCTATAACTTAGCGATGATCGTATTGTATGGTATCATAACGTCGTTGTCGCAAGGCTGAAATATGCGTTACTGTAATCGGCGGCACGCCGTGTGTGATTAAAATGGGATCGTTAACGTAAAGATAAAAAAAATCCAAAGGGCGTAAAGTAGGAAAAAAACACTATTTATTAAATCCAAAAGAAGAAATACATAGTAAAAAAAGGCCCAGAATAATATCCTGTAAATAAAGACACGAATGGTTAGTAAGCGAAGATAAAGGAAAAAAAATAACAATAGATAAGTAGACTCTACATATGGCAACTGAATAACTTGTGATCTCTTAAAATTCATCAATTAGCAAGCCCTAGTGGGTAATTGAAAAAGGCCAATGTGAACACGGAGCAAAAGTACAAAGGTCCACCTTTACACGTAGAGCTATAGAACGAAATCTAACATGGTGCGTATAAACGCGGCTCTAATGTGAATGCTGGTACGTAGATGAATGACGAGTATAAAAACAATGGTAACAGGCCAAAAAAGATATGGATTCGTGCAGATCTAGAAAGACGAAAGCACACAGCAACGTTGTAAAAATACTCTCATTGACTGTCTATTAAACAACAGACACTTATGTTCTAGGCTCGAATAAAAAAAAAGGGGGTAATTTCATATGCGATTAGCTAGTCTATGATTTATTTGTACGGAGAATATATATTACAAGAAGGAACCTTATTTGAGCGTAAACAGTAGTGACACGGTTCAGTCTGAAAGATTTGTATTGTACGTGAGAGTAATGATGAGCAAAGGATCGTAAGTGTATACGACGTAAAGACGTGAGCGATCGGTTTATCAAAAAAAAAAAATTCTAAAGGTTTTAAATATGTCGGGAGAGGCTAGATGGTATGTAAAACGTCATTTAATTATATAACAGTCGTAGTATTTATCCTCTTCTGAAATAATGTTTAGCTATTTTTTTAATGTGCCAAATGACTTTTTTTAATCCAGTGTACTTGCTTCGAGAAAAAGCAACTTTAAGCTAATTCCCTGCAAAGGACAATTACATCGCTCCATTTTTGTTTGCCCATAGGATTTTAAAACTATATTATTGGTTGGATTAATATTTGGAAAAATTGACGTAGCCTTTAAAAATGTAGGAATTCGCTGAGTCCTCCACAGCAACGAGTGACATTCAATGTACGTTATATATCAGTGTTAATTAAAGAAATTAATAATCGATTTTCTACATAACCTGACGGTGCGAGCTTTTTGACACTCTTTCTATGTATGCCCTAAACAAAGGGGCATGCGGCTCTTCCTGTAGGAAGAATCCTTAAAAACGTAAAGATTTTCCAACCAGTGCACTTCTAATTTCTTTCACCTGTGCCTTTCACCTATAGCTGTGATCATATCAAATTAGGATCTTCATGATAAAATGACATGTTACTTTCACTGCCTTAGAGAACTTAAAGTATGGCGAAAAGCGTTAATTCAAGATGTAATATTAATACCCCGTACTGGTCAATGCTTTTGATTCCCTACTGAGGGTCCTGGTTTCCTAAAACCATTGATTCAGCGTGCTTTAAGCAAAAGGCTGGCCTAAGTGTTGATGACTTGCGTTCCCTAGTGTAGGTAATATAATAGATAAAAAAGACATTTATCAAATGCCCACTAGGACACTGGGACCGCCAAAAAAAAAGTGTACTCCTATTCATCTTATTAATTCCTAGCTATTGGAAAATTCAATAACTCTATCGAGGCATCGAGAAAACGTATGAGGAATAATACATTTAAGCTCAAGACTTCAATTCTACCCATAACATAAAAATACGTTCTACGATTTTTTCAGTTCTACGGCTGTGCCATAAGATTCCTATTGCGTAATTTTTAACAACCAATGTCTATCTAAAAATATCTATACTGTATTTAAAACGTCCTAAAAAGATGTACCTAAGGATGATTTTATATATATATAGGAAGTAAAAAATACACCAAGAATAGGTAGTCATAAAAATATTATGAGTTAAAAAACCGTTATTCAAGTTGTGGAAGGAGTGGAAACTACAATATAATAAAGCGGTGCAAGTTCGATTTAGTAATGCTAAACTAATATTTGTGCTTTAATAACTTGGCAGTTAACCACAAGCGGGCAAACTCCAAATGTATCGCAGAACTCGGACCTGCTAAAATCTGATGTAACACTGCCTTTCGGAACTACATTGCAGGACTGGTGGAAAATTTATATTGGTATTGGAGCTCTTCTAAAACGAAGCTTTGTTTAAGTTGACGATTTATTAAAGAAATCTTGGGTGTCCTTCATTTGTACTTGGCAAAAAAAAAAATGCGATCATAAATCTCTCAAGAAGCGTCCACTTAAATGGGAAGCCCCATGCTCGTTGTTAACATATCCAACGCAATCAAAACAGATATTCCGCATTACTCAAGCCTGTTGGTTGTAACTGAACACATGATTAAAAAGAAACAGGCCGGGTTCCTTTCTTCGAGTAGCTTTTCGTGTAGTTTCTAGTTGATTATCGGCCGTGTTCCTAATAATTTAAGGCCACACTTCTTTATAGAACTTTTTTCCAATCAAGAGAAGTACTCCTATACGTCCTAACATTTGTCTGTTTGACCTATTTAATGTCATTTTCTCGTTATGAGCTCTACGACTATAGTTCATCGCAGGTAGCAACAAAAGTTTATCCTTACATTGCTCATTTAGTTTTGGACATAGCCCGCCAAAGCTATTCATTATCCACTGTAGTAGCATGTCAAACATTTTATATCCTGGATTAGTTTTATTACATTCGACGTGCGCAAAACTCCATAGTAGTTGTAATGAATAGTAAGCCTGTGGTGACTATTTTTACGACGGCGGCTAGACAGATACGTCGCCCTTAGCACACTTGTCCCAATGGATTAACAATTTCGTGACCCTAATAACATTGAATACATTTTTTGTATGTCTGTGCAGAGACATGCAAGAAAGAAGCCCCGAGTGCATCAATTAGGCGTTTTGCGAGCTTCGTTAACGAATCAGTCACCTGACTGAAAAGTCCTATGTACAAGGAGGTCCATTCAGGCTCCAATCATCTATCTTGGCAACCTACGCGTATCTACAGTACGTTCATAATATCACTTTCTGCAATAGGTAAACATCTCCAATTGTTGCGCCACTTGAATTTTAATTCGTAAATTACATTATTAAAAATGTAAATATTTCTATCTGTTTCCTTCTACTGAACGGATAAGTTTTCTACGAACGATACTGGTCTTCTCATCTATAGTAGTATATAAATTCAATTATTTATCATGCTTTAGATTACCTCACTTAACATTTCAAGCGTGAACAATTGACGTCTCGATGAATTAATTATATAGTTATAGTCACATATAGTTAATGAGAAGTACCAGCTTGTAAGAAGACACTTGCTTCAATAGCTTCAGAGAAAAAATTGTTACTGATTAGTTATTTCCATATACGTATTGTTTCGCATTTGTGTGAACTCTTTATTTATTGTAATTTAATAAACGCACAAGTTCTTATTGTCAAGTACGTCTTTATTGTTGGCGTTGTATTATGGAGTAATATAACGATAGTTGGTACTCCTTTTTACTGCATAACTCCCAACTTTCATGCGTTATTTTTTGTATATAGATCAACACACATCGTGTAGTGTTTTTTTTACTTTACGCGATCACCTAAGAAACATTGTTACGACCATTAGTTCTATTGTTTGGTAATTCCGAAAAAAACTAAACTAATAGTACCAATATATGTTGCACCTTTGTAAGTTAGATTACACCTAGAAAAAGACGTACACGAAATGGTGTTTAATCTGCGTGTCTACTGCCACTCAAAATCGCTGTGAATGAAAAGATTATGCATCTTAATTAATCTTACCGGCATCAGAGAGATGTCGGTAGGTTTAGTTGTGCGTCCTTTATTAATCTGAAAAAGGTAACTTTTACAACGCCGAAGTACATCTGAAAAAATTATTCTAATGAGGTAAAATGTTATCTTTTTTTTAAGGCCATGTAAAGAAAAGAAGATAGCTCATTATAGACTCGATATACTTAAGCATTTGTAATCAGTTGATTCTTAATGTGCGATACGAATCTTTTCCCATTGAATCACAAAGAGAAACAAACCTAATGCAAATAAATGAAATAAAATAGGGTCCTGTTTTTGCGCCGGACGCGATGAGTGTTGATGGCACTTCTTTTTATTTAATAAAAAAAATTATTATTTATTGTTATGAATAAGCATGCATATCTCTAAAGTGCTAGTCGGCTGATGAAAGGCTTCGGAACGAAGATTTAGCATTGTTACAAGTTACGTTCCTGATATACCACACGGATGTCATAACTTCATGAATGCTCGATATCGTAATGATAGTTTATAACTTAGGGTGCAAATGCTTGCATATAAGTATTTCGACTTTTCCAGTCTTTAAATCATTTATTTAGTAATTTAGTCGTAACTGCGTAGACTAAAAGATCATTTTGTGTCTTAACAAAATCAACATATCATTTTCAAGGTAAAGATAAATATTATTAACGACAGACTGTAATTCGTGCCTTAACACCAAGCTCGTGGGCTTGACGTTAACGAATAAAGTATAACAAGTAAACATTTAAAAACATGGCTAACGGTAAGTTAATATGAAGTATTTGTTACCGCTAAAAGAAAAAACATACATAATATATGATGAGCATGATACTGCATCAAACTCTTTATTTCATACTAGTGAACCGTGAACAGTTTATATACACGTCATAATTTACCAATAAGAATTGAACTTGTCAAGCGTCATACCACCTGCTTTGTCCGCAGATCTTGGTTAACAGTACTGCTCCCCAATCCAATGAACTCGTCTGCAACCCGCGTGGCGCTCAGCCATACTGATGCACCAACAATTTACCTGTTGCTCCAGCTGCAGCTAAAATCGAAATCCATAGAAACCTTCTTTGATCTTCAGTCTGACCAGAGATCTTGATGAAAGCTGCACTAATTTGTCTGTGCTTTCCGTGTATTTCTGGTGAAGCCAAGTTCATTCTACAGTTTATTTGTGAATTATTGTCATGTTCATCCAAAAACTGATTTGTTCGCTACAATTTTCAAAAAAGCCCGCCCCATTTCTGCTATGTGTGTGTGGGGCACGTAGCCCCTGTTCGCTAGCTATTCGAAGAAGAAGCAGACGCCGACCCGCTTCTAGTGCTTACATCGGAAAGGCAAGTCGATATTGTTTGTAAGCTAAGGTTACCAATACGCGTTCAGGACGCCAGCTCGGTTGTCATCGCCGCGAGAGCGGCCTGGCTGCCGGTAAGTCTGAGGTAAATAGACTACAAAGTTTGGTTACTTTTGCGAATCTAATTCAAGGTAGAAAAAATACCGACCTATCAAAGCCCGTTAAGACTTCAATTGATCTCCTTTTAATAATTCAACTATAACCGCAACGATAAGTGCTACGGAATCAACAATTCGTTTTACCCCGGCCCTGGCCACCAGCGAAGTGACGTTCTCTACACAGTTGTCTGAATTCAGTGACTTGTTTGCAATGAGTGTCCTGTCCTCGGACCAACATTTAAGAACTGCGATGGAGGGTGGCAACACCGAAACAACATCAAACTCGCAGGAGATTATCGACATGATGCTTCAGTTGCCTGAAGATGCAAACGCGCAATATGCTGCTGACACTGGAGAGCGTCCACTCTCGGTTGTTCTCGCAAACGAAGACAGCACTGCGGCGGTGCTCAATAACGACAACATAAACGTCAGCAACCCTAATAGCAATATGCTTTATTATATCCAGGACCAGCAACAAATGTCCCTTTTAGAAGACGAAAATGATCCAGAATTGCAAAATTTCGCCGAAATGCTTTTAATGGCGCCTAATACACAACAACTGGTTGCATCCGCGCAGTCGCAGCGGCAAGGTCAGCAGCAAACACAGCGTCGTGCACCACATTATCAGGACGTTAAGGTAAATTAATAGTAATGAGATAGCCATTATTTATGATAATGGGACGGATATAATTGTCCTAGGAATACAACGATGTTTGTTACGTTGTTGTTACCTGTTATTACTAAAAACCGATTATCAAGCAGAGTCCACATAATCACTGATAGACTGCTAGCAACCAATTGGCAACAACATGTTCGCCAGTTTGTTTACCGTTATGTTAGGTACATGTTTGCCCTTTCCCTCTTCTGAGGTCAGCTTAAACGTATTTGTGCAGAGCTCAAGTAATTCGAGCAATATTTATTAACGGTTTGACGGTAATCGTTGTGTACCATCTTCACGCGGCCTAGGACCGACATTGTGTCCTATGAGTCACTTAAACCTGTTTGCGACACGATGTTTCGATTCATGGGAAATCCGGGAACACGGAAAGATGCTTTAAGAGAGACTGAGGAGAAATTGAGGGGCTACAGATGCAATAAGATATTACGTCAATCAAATGACAACGAATTATAACTTTGTAAAAACAGCAAAAACATTTTTTATTGTCGCAATCCTTTTTCTTGAAGTACTACTACTCCTCTAAATAAGAAACGTCAGTACGACCGAATAAATGTATTGTATCTATCTGTGATGGTATTACGGTTTCTAGCTGCCCGCACCGCAGTGGCAACTTTCATTGTCGCTGTACACCAAGCATACACGTTTCTTAATGGGGTTGGTACCTAGAGCAATATCCGCCTCTGTGATGAAAGAAATACAGTTATACGGTATCGACTATGGCCGTATTATATCTGTGGTAGGTTGCGTCAGACCAAACGAAACATGTTTTGGGAAAGGGCCACAGTGGGGAATTGTTTTGGCATTACCCCTACTCGCTTAGCGACTATCGGGATGGTGGCCAACTTGTTCTACTCGCTAACACAAACATTGACTTGTTGACACTAACAATACTGCCAGGCTACTGCAATGAGGCTCGGTGATAGCTTAGTTACGAATTTGCCTGATAGTTCTAGGGACATGTGGTGATGTAGGTTCGAATCCAAGCATAAATATTCTTTGTTTCGAAGTGAGAGCCAGCGGCTTGACAGAATGCCAACGGTCATGTTGGACGTTAAATCGAAACATTTTGGCTTTTGTAATCAATCGTCACCATGTATGTGAATACTTTTAACACCCTTATAGAATTTTTACGTCGCTATTCAGTTTCCCTACTTATTAGCATTATCTTGACTCACGAGCATCAATCTTATCGTTGGTTAACTTTTTTGGAACTGATGATTCTTTCGACAAGTTTCGCAGACAGTTGTTATTATTATTATCTTATTTTGTTTACTGTTGCCTTAAATGTTTGCACAAACGGTGATAAACGATTTTTCACCACTTAGCACTCTCTGTCTGGGAAAGAAACGTAGCATCAGTTGACATACTGCCATGGATAGGCATGCCCGTAGTAGATGGCACGGTAATGATTTATAGTATTTGCGCATTACGCGGAGCTGCTCCGACATGTCCAGACAGAGCATGACCTGCCTTCGCGCATGGTCCATGTGAGCCATTGTAACTTGCGCCCTGTCTGTTCGTCTTGCTCAAGCCAAACCAGTGGTGGCCTGCGCCGGTAGTTCAACAGAAGATTTCTGCTCAATTAGGAGCACAGCCCGCTAACCGGCCTGGACCTGGCCCGAATCCAGTTTTGTTTGTGCTGGTTAACTGCCGACTATTGATGCGGTGTATATAGACTCTGTCTGGCGCAGTAGTTTATTGTACTAGCTGCGCTTACCAGGGACTATGCAAATACCAGCAGCCAATGTGAGTTATATTTCGCGTCATGCAACAGTGTTAAATTCTCTAAGGTCCACTCAGTTACTCCCGTTCCTCCATTCAAATTACAGCAATGGGACAAGACCCACACGTACGCAGCTAATTGCGCTCTTGTTTTTAGTTGTGTCTGTTAAGATAATATAAATAATTACAATTATTATTATTATAGAGTATCAGATTTTAAAATTTTGCACCTCCTTGAAACTGTCATGTGCGGTTTTCGAGAAGTACTTAATTCTAGCATCTGCCACCAATCATCATTACCGCCAATCATGTGTGATTCGAAAAATCTCGTAGAATATTTAATATATAATTGCACTAAATGATTTAAAGACAAGTGTTATACATCTATCTACCTAAGCAGCTTAATTTGTAGTAGTCGATACGTATCACCTGAACTTTGTTGAGCGCAATTATCTATGAACTGGTTACGACAGCATCACCTGTGCATTGGATCAAATTGTGGTAAAATGTGACTGCCTTTCCCGAGCTATAACAAATTGCTGAACAACCTCCGATTCAGTTTGCGCCGTTGAGTTGATTTAAAGACGCCAAACGTTGTTCTTTGTATCCGGAATGGCAGATTGCCTTGCTTCGCTTCATGTGCAGAAGGAGCCTACTGATGTATTCGAGATTAGTGTCGTAACAACTAATACACGATGTTTAATGCTAAATTATGGGCACATAATGATAGAACGTCCACCACATATCAGTTGCGTTTGTCTTATTTATACAACATAGTAATGCGAATTATCGATACGTCAAAATTGTCATTTGTTCGAACTTTCGTGTCTGAAACATTCTTTAGAATACCTTGTAGTGTGCTATAACGTCCATTCTCGCACAAGAAACAGGATGCTGAACTTGCATGCTTACCTTAGTATATCAATATATATAATATCTCTATGTTTCGAGTTTTATGTTCGGTGCTCCCGTTAAGCATTCCATCAGACGGTGGGCTCCGAACATGAAATGAAGTGTGTCGGTGCTCAGTTTGAACTTGGACTACAACGTGTCCCTGAGATTAGCAAGCAAATACGTTACTTGCTAAGCTATTACGGAGACATACATTACACATATCTGGAAACACAAAACTCTTGCACGAATAAATTTGAGAAAAGATTCCTGGCAGGTAATCAGCAACGAAGTAATTAAGATAAAAATAATTAAAATCAATTATTTTTTCATAAAAGTCAAATAAAATATTAATCGAAATTAACTGAATAATTAAAAATAACCGCGAAACAATTTAATAATTAGAAATGTTCACATGCTTTGTCTTTTCTCTCTTTTATTTTATAGCCGTTCGTTCAAGAGCATGAATGGATTCGCGCTAACCTCAATTCGACCGTCGTCAACCAGACTTTAAGCAGTAATCCGGGAGATTATGGATTCCGAGTATTCTTCGATGCTCACGAAAAGGTACCGATCACTTTATTCGTGCAATTCCCAGATATTTGTCATGGAATATCTCTTAAATATATGTATAGTGAATAAATTGTATATAAGTAAAAGAAACGATGTATTTTTATGAAATACAATATATATAAGTTCGTTCTCTCAGCAATTCAACAATTTCAAAATGGTGCTCCTATACCAGTAAATTGGATTTTTTCTAGTTGAGTTTTATAAGAACTTAGCTACATTTAGTTTAGACACTATGATTTCCGTCAGTCCAGACCAGCAGCACTTAATCAGGAAGGGACGGAAGACATTTATGCCTAGCTGCTCATACATGCTTGACTGTGTTAATTTTCGTATAAAACGACTCACAGCCCTTGCTATGTTACCCAGTATATATGTCTCACGCAAACAAATCTTTTATTTTATTCTGCCCCAAGAAGCTTAAAGAACTTTAACTTGCTACAGCTACCATCCCACTAACCCCCGCCGCGTTGCTTTGGCCAACTTAATTCGGAACCTTGTATATTGAGTTGTCTTGTTTGTTTTTCTATATTATATAGGTTATGTATATGTGACGACTTTAATTCTGACGGAAGATTTGCTCTTGTACCTATTTGTCTATGGTAGAAGTGTTACGAGGTGCACAGGAAGCGATAGATAGGCTTTCGGATCGATTATGTAGTATTGCAACGGTCTTTTCAGGTTGACATATGATGTACAAGAGTATCTATATCGCTCCTACTTACATGCCTAGATGTGTTATGATGTCATGTGTCGTTAGTTGCTGGAGCAGCCTCCGCTGCCCAAGTGTTGTATAGCATAAATCATTTTAAGTTGCCCAGAAAAGTTAATTCCAGGAATACCCTCAATAGGCGCAACGTAGCATCTTGTCTGAGCTTAGCAGGATACAACTGACGATCATTTGACATAATAGGTATGCTAGCATGGAAGCCGAGTGCCCGTCGATTGCTTTTCGACGAAGGCAAAAGAGATGCCTGTATGACTAATAGTGTTTGTTGACTGTTAGGAATCGCATGTCAACCCAAATTATAAAGACATTATTGGACGATAATGTAGTGGAAGCGTTATGTATCTACCCTGATTTTTACAGTGGGTATATTTGATTCACTAGTAATAATAGAATCAGAAATATGAGTGGATAGCCTGCACCGTATAAGCGTCTATAGTTTTGTTCATAAAAATGGCTTCTTCAAAGTTGAACCAAAAGAACTAAGGTCTGATATACTTGACGCGTTGCAGGTAACAAAGAATATGACATGGACCTATTCGGGGGAAGTGGGCCGGTTGTATGTGATGCTCAACTCGCAGTGTCCTTTTAAGGTAGGCACTATGCATCCGCCTCCGGACAACTCATACATCGTTGTCGTTCCAGTTTACAAGGACGCCGTAAGTACACATTAACGGTAGAAATAAATCAATGCTGATCGAATGACGATAAGCCGGGTTGAGCACCTATGTTTATAATATTCTTTTTCTTCCCCGTAAAAATAGTGTGGCCTGGTTTTAGATACATTGCTCCTAAGTACGTCTCTATGTGTAGACTTTTAAATAGTCATACCAGCAATCCCTTTAAGTCGTGAACTACATCAATTAATCTAAAATATCGCGTGTTGTTTTTCCGTTTTAGGTATCCCGGAGTGAGAACGTGGTGCGATGTCCGCACCATTGTCGCAACCTTGACGCATCAGGTTTGAAGGGCAAATTTTGGATGAACTCGCCACACCCTCAGTCCCTATATCATGAGGACATCCAGAACTCCAATCGACATTGCCTTGTTGTGCCCTTTGAAAAACCACACACTGGATGCCAATCGTATACGTACCTTTTTGAGTTCATGTGCAGAAATACTTGCGTTGGCGGAGTGAACAGACGCGCTACTGAGGTCGTGTTTCTGCTGCAGCACCAAGGCAAAGAGTTGGCCCGAGCCGTTGTTGAGGTTAGTACATACCCAGGGTATCAAGTCACAAATCAAAAAGAAAACACTTGATAGCGATATAATGTATAACTTTATTCATTCTTTTTTGCAATTTAATGTATTTTTGAAAATGCAGTGTATAAGCTGAAAATCACTATAAATATGCAACCTATATTAACTAATACTTATTGACTTCTGTCGATCGAATTCGGTACCATTGATGACAGAGTTTCTATCGCTTTCTACAGAGATATTGTATCCGGTATACAACGTAATTTTTTTTTCTTTTTTACAACCGACACTTATTAACCAATGGTATATTTTTGTGCTTTCATACAGGTTAAGGTTTGCGCGTGTCCGGGGCGAGATCGACGAACCGATGAAACAACGTTAGCCAAGCGACTCTCCATGGAGAGCAGTGGAGCAACGGCTCGTGCCGGACATCGCAGTAGTGGTCAACACAGTATGGCCATATCGGGTCACACCAGACTACGATCAGCCCCCGGAGCCGGCTCAGAGTCTGCTTCGATAAGCATATTGAACTCAACTGACAACGAACACGAAACCGGACAGGACGGTGAAGTATTTTCGATACGGGTGCGGGGGAGAACCAACTTCGAAATTCTTAAAAGAGTGGCCGAAGGTTTGGAACTACGTGCTCAACATCAACGAGTCAAAAAACGAAAAGTCTCTGGCGCCATCGACCAGCAGCGGGTTCAATTGCAGCAACAGCAAAATCTTACAGCCACTGAAGTTAAACGCGAAGGAGAAATTGTTTACTCTGATGGTTAGAAAAAGGCCGGATTAGGGACAGTTTCTGAATCGCTACTAATTATAATACCACCTTGTTGAATTAGGAAGCCGGAGTCTTCGATTTGGCAAGACACACTGTTTTTAACTCGTTCAGTGCTTGTCCTGTAAACAATAAAGACAACTACTCTATCAAGTTGGCTGTTGTTCGTGCACAAAAGTGTACTTCGATAGGTAACATAGAGTTACTGTTAATAAATGAATGGATTAATATCTTGAAGGCAATTATTAATGAGTAAAAGATATATATATATATATATATACGAGAGATACGAAACTAAAAGTAATAAGGAAATATTAACTAAAACAGATGAATAGCGATGACAAAGAACAAGGAAAAACAAGTTTCAATTTGAGAAGTTGCGGATAATAATATCAAGGATAATATCACATTCATTATTTATTGGATTTGACTTTAAGTAATCTGAATTAACTTGTAAGCTATGAATGCGAGGTGTCCTTCAATTCTCATCTATTTTTCTTATTTTACATACCATTTAGATGAGGAGGAGTATCGCACAGATAAAAACAGCGAGCAGAATTGTTGCGTGTGCATTGAGTGTAGCTCCATAATGATGATGTCTGCATCATAGTACATTGATTTTAATCATAATTAGCGGTAATAAATTTTCTTGAATTGTTGAATAGTGTACGAAAATCAAATAGTTTACACATGATTTTCTATAAGAAAGTGCATATATTGTGATAAGCTTATACATTTATTTGCCACAGAGGAAAAACGTTTCAGTTAACTAATTTACAACGATGTTGAAGTGGATAGGAAAATTCTACAAGCCTATAAAAGCTTTGGAGATTGTTTTCTTCGAAGTACAAGGGACATTAATTTAAAGCACTAGCAAGACAGATTTCATATAATTAAATACTTATGAAAGAAGTTGTGTAGTAACAGTTATCTACTAGTTAAACATTATTCAATGGATTTGTTGAGTCTTAAAGGAATCACATCTATTTTGCTACCCTAAATCAAACATACATATAAGTAGAGTATACAGGAACTACGTCCTAAGCTATTTTTAGATTTTACTCGAAAAGAAATAATAGAAAGTTATTGAAACAAATGTGAGTGTTATTTTTCAAGTTTAGTTAAAATAAATACATAAATGAAATACTTCTTTTTAACCACACAATAAAGATCAGGAACATTCAGATTTAACGAATGGAATCATGAAATAAGCAGATTTGAAGGAAATGCTAAACGTTCTATATAGTAATCATAAACCTCAATTTTCTCTAAAAATCAGAGAACACACAGTTAGCAAAACAACTTGTATTAAAGGTTTCTGTATATTTATTCATCATTTCGTATTTGTCGTATTTAGTAAAGCATCTATCTTTTGTAATTTTCTTTTACCGAACCATATCTTACTAACAAGAATAGAGATCAACAGCTTAGAAATATCTTAATTAGCGAATGTGGCAGCAGCACAATTTCAACGAGCAACCCAGTTTATCCGGGTCGTCGTGATTACGTCGCGTCGTTGATAAAATGAACATAACCCTGCTCTCTCATTTATTTAAAGCAATGGAATTTACTTAAAGAATGCACCCTTGAATAATATCCAGCATTGTAGTGACAAATGTCGTTTACGGGATTCATTTTCAACCGGAAACATTTATTTAAATCTCCTCATTCTAAAGAAGCTAAACTAAGCATTTCTTTTTTATTTGACCTCGTTGCATGAAGCCTGTTTCAATCATATTGAAACTTAAATACGTCGTTCTTTTATAAAAGCCACATATCATGAGTTCATATTATACCTAGCTTAGCATACTACTGCCCTATAACAGTATATATAGCGCTTAATGTGAAATTTTAAATATCTTTTCAATACAGCCATAGGTCGACTTTAATTATATACTTTCGGCACAATCTTTTTGATACTTCTCTCATGTGTACGTCCAATGCCGTCTGGTTACTTTAGAAATTATAAAAAACCCATTCATAAGTTTACTAGATGCGAGCATTTTGAATACCTCTTAGCGCTATAAACACTGTATATAGTAAAAACGAAATTATAAATATCTATTGCAGAAGTTTGGATTCTACTACAAACTATTTCCTATTTGAAAGTACCTAGCTGAAACTCTTAAACATACCACATGTTTTAAATCAATAAAAAATACTTTTAGTAACCGGGCATTTTTTGGTTGATCATGCCTTTACTTTTTTCTTCACAGTTGATGAGATCACCAGCCTATTCTGCATCTAACTCTGCTAAACACAAAATCTTCAACGGGATAAAATAGGTCCAGATGCTTGTATGAGACTACTTGCAGTACCCATATCATATTGTTGTGTGTTTATAAATTCAGCTTAATCAGAAATAGAGATAATCAAGGCAACTCGTTCAATCCTGGCCTAAGGAGGACGCTTAGGGCAGGATTTGATCAAGAGTATCTTGTTGACCCTTATGTTGCAAGTGGTGCTCGTCAATACCTTTCGGCTAGGTTATTCCCTACTCAAGCGAGACATAACCACACGAATAGCCGTTACAGGTGGCTGGTATATAAGAACGAAGTGTTCATCCTTGCGGATGTGCCTGAAGTACTTCATGGGCAAGAAAAATGAACATCTCTAGTACATGTGACTCTTTCCATTACTATATTTCCTATCCTCTTAGATTACTCCCACTAGATGTTTCACTAAAATCATATGTCCACTTATTTCGTATTATTAGACTGTGAAATTTGAAACAGTTTATTGAAACGCCCCTAAGACACACAGTAATACATAATTACCCATGAGAATTCGGATACGCCTATAATTAATACTGTGTTATTAGAATTGGAAGCTCTTCTGCGTTTGGATATCGTCAAGTAGCTGGCGAAGGTCTTCATCCTCAAATCGACCCTCCAGCGACGGGATTAGTGCTTTTGCCTCTTCCGGGTTCTCGGGACAAAGGTTAGCTAACTGGGCTAGTTCAAACTTGTGTAATTTCTTTTGCTGAAGCATGTTTCGAACTTCACCAATGGTTTCACGGTTCTTGAATCTGTAATACAAATGAAAAGAAACGTATGAAGAACAGTAAGGAAGAGTAGTAGAATTATTAGGCGAATCATAGAGGTATCATAAAAATGTCTTAACTTTATTATTTTAGCCACATCATAAGCATTGGTAATAGCGCGGCAAATTTAGTGGTTTCTGTCAAAAGAAATACGCATATAATATAATGTTCTTTTTCAGCCCACAACGGCGAACCTTTCAGTATATTTATAATAAAATGTTAAGTCGTATTTTTGCATTTCTTGCGTTCAATGCTCCACAAAAACAGCTACTTTATATATTCTCAAAAAACGAATTCTTTATCCACGAGTTAAGCTAGGCCGCTGTTCTCTGAGTCGTAAATAGTAGGCTTATAATCTATTATTCTCTGTGATATAGAATGTTTGAGTACATGCAAATGACATATTGTTAAACCTACAAACACTTAGTAACCTACTTTGAAAATCGCTCGCAGTAGTTGTGCGTTTTCGTAAAAAGTTCCGACAGTTCCTGTTCCTCCTCAGCTGATTCGTTTTGCTGCTTCCGGTGATCAAGCAGCATGTGAACCTATCACGATATTAATGTATAAAGCCACAAATATAAGTTCTCCAAGAAAGTTTACCGTTTTCTAGAACGATTAATAATGAGACGGCAGAAGGTATTTCTCTAACTTAAATATAATATATTACATTGATCATATTTAATTCCAAATAAATATTTTTTCTATATGCTTCACGTATAATTCTCTAACGACAACACTCCAATTTCTCAAGTGACAAAATGAAGTTCCACTGTTCCCGCAACAACTCTTCAGCCTATGTCATGTGAATGAAGAACAATGCATTTAAAAAATATTCAGATGAATATTTTGGTATTATCTAGTATAATACAAAACATGAATATTTCAACTATATTCAAAATCAAAAGCAATGGTATGAAATAGATTCTACTAATCCAATCGAAAGTACCAAAACGAGAAATAAAAGCACGTATGCATGATTCTATTGTTTTTAATTGTTGTTACTTGCGAAGACACTTGCCTATACGTTTAGAATAATGTCTAATGAGCTACGTTCCAATCGGTTATTTTGATGAAGCCTATAATATACATAGTGCACCACATGCAGTACCTCAGATATTAGTAGAGTTTCAGCGTTTTCGAACTCTTTTGGGAAACTGAGCTCGCAAGCATCTTCCTCAACTGTCTCCAGAACGACAGCTGCTGAAGCCGGTATCTTTGCCATTCTGCTAGAGGAATACTACTGCTCATAGGAGTCTTCACTTGGTACGCTGCACTTTTGCTTCGATCGATCTACAGTATGAAAACGATGCAAATCGCCAATGCGGAAAGACAACTCGATTGCTGATGATAAGCAACGCAGATCACATCGCCGAATTGCCTATCGATTGATCTGTCGTAAGATGCGCTCTAGCCCTCTTTTACTGTTGCTGTTTTGTTGCGTCTGCTCGCACCAATTGCTCCGCCTTGTGAAACGGTAGGCACAGCTGTCAACGACGCAAGCTAGATCCGTTAATAAACTTGTTCCATCTCCTTAACGTTTTAAGATCGATTTCATTTAAAATTTAGGCAGATTATCCTTTTAAAAAGACTTATCTCATTTGCCTCATTGCAGTATTTGCCTCATTTTTTTTGTCTATAAAAGACCATTTACGATGGTACACATAAGCTAATGAACATTTTTATTGACGAAAAGGTAACATAACATAATTCTCTGAAATATGTTTTTAAGTGCCTGGATTATTCGTAGTTCATATATCGAGACACTAGGAACCTGGACAAAACCTTTCTAGGCTTGTCATCGTTAAAATCATTTAAGTTCAAATAGCTGTTTAAAAATCACCTGAAACAAGTGATTTGAACGAATTACACATCAGTTTTACCGTAATCATACAGCATTCTATGCACGGCCGTTAACGTCATCCTCGTAATAAAATTTTGACAGATAACTCTAAAACATACATCTCAATAAGACGGTTGAGAAAATAATAATAATAATATACTGATTTGTTTCAAATGTCCTTGGAATTATCTGCTCAGACTAACAAATATTTTCAAATTTAGTAGCTCTACGCTGAAGATCATGTATCACTATGACTCTGCTAGACATTGTGTCCGCTGTTACTGTACACTCAATCCTTTGTGAATATAAATAGGGATATTAATGGTGCCTCGTGTCTCATATATCGTAGCTCCCATGATAGCTACATTGAAAACGATGGTGAATACAGATATTCAGTGATAGACGAAATCCTGTCGTTTGCTACAGAATGTTTTTGGGTAACTCACACATCCCTCACTGCGACCTTTTTCGAACGTTTTTTCGAGGTAGATAAATTGGTAGAAAATATAACGCTAAAAATATAAATACCACAATATCGTTATATTATCTAAGTTAATTGAACTACGGAGCCAAGGGAGAATAATTTATAACTATTTACTTCGATCCAGCGGATAACATGCGACAGCTAAAGAGAATAGAAGAATTTAGAGATTGAAAATGAAATAAAGCAGTCGTCATCCACGAACTTATCGAATTAAGTAGTGCCTGCAGTGAGTTGACTGTAGGGGGTGTAACTTCCATCATATACTGCGAAAAAGCATTTAATTAGTTGCTTTACTGATTAGAAAAGCCCCTGAAATCTGGCCATTTATTTCTCTGACAAACGACGAATAAATAAGGATCTTGATACTTTTCCCGCTTGATTGAAATCAAAGGTAATTTTTACTCGGATTATGTTACTTTTCCACTATTCAGAGGATAGTCATCATTTATTTGGAGAGAGGAGCGGTTTGTCACTTTTATTGCCTAAAGTAATAAGCAAAGCCCCGCCAAAGTGTGCTGCTTTTTCAACTGTCTTTAATACCCTGTAAATGGTTCCGATTCGTAAGAATTTTAATCTGAGTATATTTGTAAATATTGACATATTTATCTTGATTTGCGCATTTCTGGCTTATGATTTTGCTCATACGTTGCCCAAGCGATGAACACGCAAAGCGCGCTGTTTTATCTGCTTTCTATCTGGGTAGAGGCAGAGTACCAAGTAGACATGAGATTCACTAGGTCCATAATGAGAGCCTTGCTTCTTGGCTTTCAGCTGCCCTATGCTTGGTGAACACCGTCTTCATTGCGATTGTCGATTATTGTACTATACTTACAGTATGTGCGTTTTTATATGAATATATCCTAATTTCGACATTTCTCTGTACTAAATTGTTTCAAGAATTTTGTTTTAGAGTTGTTCAAGGTAGGTCCCGTTACGATGGAAAGAAAGCTTTTCCGTATTTTTGTAAATCAAATATTTATATTTGATTTTCGTTCCGAATTCAGATTTTCGGCCAGTTTAGCGAGATGTCCCTGTTTAGGCAAAAGTTGCTGTTCGATGAAAAAGAAGGAAATCGATTTCAAAGATGTTGGCATTAACCTATCAAAAGCCATATTATCCAATAGTCTGATGCTCCTAAAGAACAGTCATGGGATTATCTTGTTTTGATCCTTCCCAGCAATAATCAAATTTGTCTAATCGACGTATAGAAAGAGCGTTTATGGGCTTCTCACACCCGAACGCTTGCATCTTCTCTCTGTTTGGTGAATTATCCAAGCGTAAGACAATAATAGCTGTATTGTGCGACTGAATCTTTTTGACCCTGCGATTAAACGTACGTTTTACATGTATTTCTAAGCCGAAAAAGGCTGTTATATACCCATATAAAAAGTGCTCTACAGTATCTACATTCTAATTAAAAATTAGTACTCTCGCGACCTAAACTTAGCGGATGGTGTAAAGTATATAAGTTTACCCTACTATTAGAATAGATAATATATGTAAGCTAGGAACATTAAGCTTTGAGGCACATATAGTATGAAATATGAAACACAGAATAAAAGTGCTTTATTTATTTATTTATTAAATTGCATTAGTCATTGGGTCATAGGTGCACCTCTTGAACAACATCTGCTTTTTTCAATAACATCTGCGCTTTCAGAGATTCGATTGAACTGGGCTGTGAACGTTCATTATTGTCTTATGCCTCTTGTATTTGAATGCACGCTGCCCAAAATGCAGCTCAAGTCAATTGTTCTAAACAGAGGCAGATATAAAATGTAAGTGTTCGGTTTTCTCTTGTTAAATTGAAAAAATCGACTCATTAATTGCTTACATATTAAATATTTGAAATAATACAAAAAGATGCTATTGAATATCTCTTATCTTTTGCCTTCCTTTTCTTGCAGTGTTGAGACTGTCATTTCGTTGTAATTCAAATAATGTGACCTCAAAATTGATATGTAACATAATGGGGGCAGATGTGGCCACGTCTCGATAGTATATATTGAAAAAATAGACAAAATATAGCATCCCACATATAATTAATCGTCTTCCATCTTAATATTATTGAAATAAGCAAAATAGGAGCTTTGTGTGGGTGAGTAAGCGATGATGACCGCACTACTATCGTTGTCACTTGGTCGGAAGCTTTGATGAGGCTATCGGTTTCATTTGGGCATATGGTGAGGTTTTGTTTTGTCAGAAGTTTTTCAACCAACGCGAGGCACCCCTGCCATTGCTAGTTCGCTATTATTCTTGAACTGTATTTTTTGCGTCCGTAATGCGCTATTTAATTGTAAGAATTGCTACAAAAAGACAGCGACGAAGTATGTGTCATAAATGGTCGCTTCGGGTCAACAATGCAGGGGAGCAAAAAGCGTATACAGTAATCCAATGTTTTGTCGACATAACCATGTCGGACACGGAATAGCAGAAAGCCAGGCGGCGTGACTGATACTCGAATAGGCCGAGATGGAGAGTTTCACAGTGTAGCTTTTGCCTTAAAACGCTGGTTTAGCTGAACTTCCATTAGCACATGAATGACATCTTGAGACAAGATTTGAATATGCTCGACTAGGTCGAAATTTTGGCACCTAGTCAGCAATACTTATATATAATTGAAGCCCAAATACTTCGTACTAATAACGTAAGTAAACGAGCATTTGCAGACTCGGTTCGCGCCAGTTCTGTAAATTAGATATTTATGTTCAGAAAATATATGTTGATATGTGCTGTCCTACGCATTTATGCAGCTCATAAGTTTGCATAAGCAGATGAACGCGAGAGCGCAGGACTCGAGAAGGTCGACATTCGGAAGAGCTCACATACAGCCAGGACGTCACAGCTAAGAAATGAAATGGCCCTCTGCTGGTAAAGAAACTGGAAAAAGAAATACGATTAATAGTTTGTTTGAAGCATTTTTCTTATGTACAAAAATCTTCCATAACGTACAAGCACAATTAGATACAAAACTAAATATTGCTCAACTGTTAGTGACTTCAGCCGTACAAATATACCGAAAAATGTATTTTCAGACTATACAGAAGTCCATTTTAGTGGAAGTCGAATTCATAACATCAAAATCATACAACCTCTCATTTTTTTTCAATAGCCGACGCCGCTTGAAAACAAGGAGTAAGTTAGGACAGGCAAAGGCATATATATTGTGCAGTTGTCCACAAGTGCTAGATAGCATTGCGTTTTTCTTCGTATCTAGGCGGCCATTTGCAAGTGCTAGAGGTGGCAGCATAATGCACAGACTGAGCACGACCCTGAGTTCTACGAGTAGCTCGTGACGGCATTCTCTTCTAGGTGAGTTAATAGATAAAGCAGGAATATATTTTTACCAGAAACAATTCCTACGAAAGGTGCGTAGCCCGTAGAGGTACTTGACATGTTTCATGCATCCCTGAGAGTATCAAAAATTAGCTTGGCAAATACGTAGCTCTGAAGTTCTCTCCAATATTTCGAAACCCTGCCCAGCATCATTGTAAGATCGTCGTATCATTGTAAGATCTGTCTAGCAGTGCCTAATTTGGATCCTTATTTGACATATTCTTGTAATTCTTAAATATACGCATCGCTAGGAAGTATCATAATCATCTGCGCAGTAGCCGACTCTTAAATACGCTTGAACGAAGGTGGCTCCCACTGAGCATACTAATAACGCTGACGCCTTGGGAAAACAGTCCGACTATTGCAGCGTAATAAAGCTACAACTAATTACCAGCGACTCTCTTTCAGTTCGTGCTACCAATAAAAATTTCCACTGTCTCATTTTACATTAACGTCATTACGTGTCGTTGTTGGCTAATGTTAGTGCAGAAAATGATTTGCCGTTTTTTTAGCTACTATATTCCTCGTTATTATTATTATATGTTAGTTTATTTAATGAATGCTGCTAGATCTTACCTACGTTCATCACTCATTAGAAATGTTTATTCGAACCGAATAAGATATATTATGCTATCAGTAAGACTAATTGGCTAACTATAGTGAGCGATAATGGCGACAGATGACGCGTCACGTAACGTAAATACATCAAACGTAACGCTTAATGTCCTCCTCGCAATGGCT